TGACTGGGATCGTGCATTTTGGTTGTAAATTGGAGCACTTTCCCAGAGTTTGAAACACTTTGTGTTATGGAGCAACCTTTTTACTTGATCTATCCATAAAGGATTGTGGTGGACCTCAGCGAAAGAGCTTAGTTAAAATATAATAATACGCAAAGTTACCAGCAATATACCAAAAGAATTAACACTACAAACCTAAGCGTGTGTCTATGATTAACGCAAAAGGTAACAAATTACAGTTAAATTCTTAAAAGGTATATTGAGCAACAAAATGGTAACAGTGTTATGAAATGAATGTTAATTGTAAGCTGCTTTCTGAGATAACAACCACAAATAGGTTCACTTGGTTAACAAAGGTTCCTCTGCACGTGATGGCACCAACAGCAAAATGAAGAAGAATAGATCCAGTAGTATTATTCAGTAATGATCCGGGCCAAAGCTCCAATGTAGTGTGGAATGGCCTAAAAGGATGTTATAATACTATTATAATCTCAATCAAAGGCCGTGGCCGTTAAAGCAGAAGAATAGACGGCGGATACAACGTTTATATTTTAAGAATCGCGGTTGTCAAGTAGTGTTATATACAACCAAACAAAAGTATTCGTTTCTCTACCATTGATACAGAAAAACAATAGATATCGAAAATAAGTGTGGTTACATAAAAAGTGTGACAAATAGGAAAAATATGTGATCTTTAATTTGTTGTTACAAAAAATCATTGCATATAAATGTCACCATAGGATAGAGTAAAACTTACTTTTTGGTGTGTTCGTTTAGATTCATTATTTTAGGATCAATTGTTGGTTGAATAACTGTGTGGTAATATTTGTTTGGGTAAATTTGTACATTTGTATGTATGATGAATTTTAGAACCGTTGTTACCCAATCACTGTTCTGATATCGATTGTGGAGCGCGTCTCTTTACTTTTACTCTAAAGTTATTCAGCGGCAAGCGTAGTTTGGAAATTAGGTTTGGATCTTACACTCAAAATAACAACGAGAATTCTTTACATGTGACCAAAAAGGTTAGATGAGCAATACTGATTATTCAACCAGGGATATCTACAGCTCGTGCGTAGTCCTAAAACGTAAGCACATATGTAATGAAATTTTGATTTCTTCTGAAATATTTGGTATATTGAAACAATTGAAATCGAAAAAGAATGTTGTTTGTGTGCCGTTCACCCGTCATTTCAAATGGGACGAAATAGCTCCAGAATAGTAATGTCCTTAATTATGATCTTACTCGCTCCTCAAATCCTATACTTTTGATTAATTTGTGTTATGTTCGTCGTTATATCAAGTACATGGGCGATTTATCCCTATTCAACGAAACGAGAAAAATAGATCAAAACCATCGCAACCGCTAGAATAAGTAAAAGAAGAAGAATTTTAGGTTCACATGAGTGGTCTATGCAGTCTGTAGAAATACCCTTTATCTAAATTTTATCACTAGTAGGTGAAAATAGTGCGAATACTAGATGAGAGTACTAAAAATATCCCTGTGGAAACTTACTGCCGGACCAAAAAATAATGTAAAACCCAACATTTATGACTTGTAATTGTACATTTCTTTTTTGCATATCATTATATTTTACGAATGGTGGAGCATTTCTTCAGTTTCAGCTGACTTTACCCATTAAGCTAAGCAAATAGTTTCTTTATTTTCACTACAGAATGGTTAGAGAGGCAGGTGAGCAAACACGGGCGGACAGAGCTTCGTAAAATCGCACGTCAACAACATGGTGTTAGGTAGCTCAGTCGTGGAAACATTCTTCTTTCATCTTCTTACCTTACGTTCTCTTGTTAGCTCTGATAACAATGTAGAGGGAAAGTATAGTAGTAGTAGTTCGTGTAATGAAGGTAAATTCTACTGAGAATGCATAACAAGCTAGTAAAGTATATAACAGCTGTAGACCATTTCTGAATATTAGTTGGGTGGTGGTCTCCATCGATTATGGGAGTAAGAAGGTCAAACACTGATCGAGTTACTGATCCTTCATTAGGCTGCGGAAACAGAACTGAAATATTTTGTTTATTAAATTGGTCAAACCGACATTCTTGTAGAAATCATTTCCAGGTAGAGGGTGATGCAACAACTTAAGTTGTGTTGTCGATAGTTGGTTGAAAATATATTGATAATGACAAAACACTAAAGTCCAAGGAGTAGGTTGTATTGGCATTGAGCACTAACCATACTGGAAAAGATCAAATCCATAAAAGTCCAAGAATTAGAGAAACGGATTTGGACCTTTATTCACCCGAACAATGTTGTTAATATCTCGTCTTTCTTCCTAGCAACTGTTTAGGATAATACGCTTCGTCATGAAGGAATGGAATTTATTGTGCAATTTAGTCTCTTAAGAGAATAAGCCTCTCCTGAGAATCTTTCACGGGATTTTTTTAAACAAACATAGTATATCATGTTCTACATTATTATCTATCATGGGAGAATGAATTGCAAGTAGTGTTTTCCAAGTCGTCAGTATAAACGTCATGGTTGACTTTGATGTTTGTCTCACTTGAGTCGTTAAACTGGTAGAGGCTACATTCAGATGATTTGAGCTACTATACTATGAGTTTCGAAATAGTTCAGTCGTCTTACCGTGGAAAAGAAAGGGAGTCTATGACGGGAAGCATATTATTACGAAGGTGACATGTTCTTCAGATTTTCGACTGCTCTATGGCTGATATAGTTTTGGTTTGGTCATCAGGCTACGGTCTGCATTAGCTGAAAATCTTGCAGTTCCTAGACGCGACATGTCACCTGCTATGATGAAAGCGGAGATGATAAATACTTGTCTGTTGTATGAACAAAAAATTTAGTTTTGTCACGAAAAGCTGTATGCACCATGGCGCCAGCCGAAGCAAAACGCTGAACAACTATGGACCTGAACAGATTTTAAGAAAATTGGTTTTTTATTCTAAAAGCTCGGAGAGCATTTTTATAACCAAAATTATTACATTTGTTTCATCTGAATACGGAAAATTTTCGATAAGTTCAGTTTCCCTTAAGAAAAGATATGAGGTTAGATGGCCTGTGTTACTCCTGGAAATGAAGGCCTTTCAGTTGATCCAAGTTCCTCCTGAAAGGGTCGATAGACGGCGCTTCAAAATGAATTCCCTTTCGTTAATTATTCGATGGGAAATTCGATAGTCGGCTGACATGTAATTTGTTGTGGACCTGAGAACGTCTATGGAGTGTTCTCGTAAATTCTGTGTTTTGGAGGACAAGAAAAATGATGTCACAACAGATTCAGATTTATCACTACCTAATTCGAAGCCGTAATCAAGTCACCTCAAGTTCTTCGATATGACAATGGAAATAGGTAAAGTTCGGCTAGTCGAACATAATATAGTAGCTTGACCATTCCAGGAAAAACCTTGGTTGCTGTTGTTTGAACATTTTTCAGCAGCTCACAGTCTTTTTTAAGCAGGAGCTAGCATTTTGTATACAGTACTGAAGTCTAGGACGCACGAACACTGTATATAAAGTCAAAAAGGTTTTAACATTGACATGACTAAAGACCTTACATATTGACCTTAAGGCTCTAAAACCTTTGGTGGCTATCGTACAGCGGTGTGCAACAATTTGCAATTCTGAGTTAACGATGTCCCCTACTTCACTGTGTCTGGACAACAGGTAGCTCAATGTTATTCACCTTGCATGCATCTCCATCTTGGTGATCAATATGAATCACAATGCACTTGCAAGAATTTATCGGCAACTGCCGAGTTTGACACCACACAGATAATTTCTCCAGGTCCTTTTGACTACAAGATCTGGTATGGCGTTCTTACAGTCTTTTGGTAATTGACACTAGGTTATGGATAGATTGAAACATATACTTAGGAGGTTCACAACAAAGCAAGTTCCTTCAGTTACGTAGGATGCAGTTCATCGGGTCTCATGGATTTGTTTATATCAAGCTTATTTAGCAGATCAAAGACATCGAGTTCTTTAATGGTCACGTTGTCCAATATATGTATAGGGGGATTTGTATGGACTGAAAGGAATAGCGTTTTTGCTCTATACGCATTGCCATAGTAGTTCGAGAATACTTGAATTTTATCATGGTTGTCCTCCACTAATGATGAAGCATTAATGTCCCCCTATAGTGCTCGAATATTTCCTCTTCTTTTGTTCCTTTGGTTTGGATATGAATACGAGCTTTTAGGGTGTTCTATAGATTCTTTAGCAAATGTTTCCTTGCTCAACCTTCTAGACTTATGGAGGGTCGAGGTACAAGTATTGCAATCTTCTTGGTATTGAGATTTTATCCGACATTCTTCTTCTCTTTCGGAGAAGGGTGTGAACCTCTCTACTGAACCATGGTGGATAGTTCCTCGGGCCGCTCTATGCAGTCCAAAAGATTTGCGCGATGCAGTAACTTTAAAGTATAAATTTCGAAAACATTCCAAGCTGTTTGAGCTGAGGATTCTGGTTCCATTGACTAATGTATTGCGAATGCCGAATATATAATGCTTTGTAAATTTGCCTTTCAGATGTTGAGTCTGGCTTTAGCTGACGTTTTCTCTTTTTCGATAACTTTAGGGATGTCAGAGATAAGAACTTCATAATCACTTTTACCTAGGAGTGGCATGTAATCGAGGTTTGTTATGTCATCCTCACAGTGGGTCAATATAAGATTTAGTAAGACTGATTCACAGTCCAGTTAGTACCTAGTCTCTTCGTTTACCTGTTGTAATAAGGCAAATATGATGATTGCATCAACCGGTTCATGGTCGAAGGAATTTTCTGACAACTCAGTTCTCAGATTTTTCCAGTTTACCATGCGTGAACTAAGGTTTTCTAGGGTTAGACACCGACCACAATATGTTCTGTTCTAAACCAGGATCCATGCCCTACAATTCAGACTTGGGTTTTGAGGTGCTGATTATTTGTTATTTCTATTTTGCAATGCTAAGAGTTGATTTTCCGGCTATTGGACATTGTCCTGCGCTCTCATTATTCAACCTGTGCGTCACCTACCAAATAATGGTGTGCTTGTCTGTCCAGTAACCGTTAGTGAAGTATTTACTAAGAGTTAACCTTAGGTTATGATAGGATATGCATATTATTCATTTTTTCTTTGTCATTATTATATGGCATGATATATTTAAAACGCCCCACGACTTCTCTACATACATTAATATGTTGGGCATTTAGGTTTAGCTATAGAGTGGAAGAAAGCTCAACAAAGACATGTAAATACTTTTACAGCATTCGTTCGCTTCGATATTTTTCGCCTCAGTCATCCGGTTGGAAAATTGTTTAACGCCTAAGAATAACAGCCGTTATCATAAAATAAATTAAGTCGTTCACTTTCGTTTTCTATCCGTGGGATTTATATCAAATGCATCAGGTGTTGCTTAGCTCTATCAAGTCACTGGCTCTTGACTCCTGTTCAAAGTCAATGACTCGGTGAAGTTAAAAAATTTGGTTTGGGTTAGTGAACAAAATATTTTAAGTTTAAAGTGCTTTGGTAGTTTGGTCTTCTTAATAGTGATGCAGAAGTCAATATTCTAGGTAGCATCTTCGAGTTTCTGAGTGTGGATTATAATAGGACGAGGAATTAAACGAATGTGTTTATTAAACGGATAGCATGGGTTGTACATTTTGAACCCGAGCTTTCGTTGCCTAACTTCATATCCATATTAATCCTACATTGCTTGAAATTTACTCCCCATCTTAAAAACTTTCTATTTTGACCGAAATTAGCCAGGCAAAAACGTTAGTTACTGTTTCACAGTCAGCTAATGGACACTACTTTCCATCTTCAATTAGAAGTATTGGATATGTTGTCTACCTTACAGACTTAAATGGCGTTTCTTTTAAAACTTCTTTCGCTATTTTAGGTTTCTTTGAACGTTTTGTACAAACGAGCCTTCATATTCACTCAACAAAAATATTAGCTTAAGAATATTTGGAGGATTTATAAATGAGTAACATACACAACTTTTCATGAACAAGGTCTGGAGGTATCATCTAAGGTATAGTACACAAAGCAGGGCACAAACTATTGTGCACCATGCTCAGTGAACCTGCTTCCCCATATGCATTTTGTAAAGATTTGCAGAACTTAATCATTGTAACAGAAGAGCAAATCATTTCACCTTTGCGTAAAGAGTTAAAAAGAAGTGATGAACATTCCGAAATTTTATCACTTGAGATACAAGACGCTGAGGTAATTCGGTGAATATAATGCGATTTCTGTTGTAGAATAAGACTTTTGAATATTTAGCCCAGCAGATTTCAGCTATTTGTAATGCTGATGAAGACACAGCTAATGCCATCCTGCGTGAATATCCAAAATCAGAAGTTTGTTTTCGATGTCTCGGTATTAATGATGACACTATACAGGTAGGTAGTGAACGTTTTCGACTTTTCATACGTATCTCTAGGGTCTTCTTCGTATTCGGGGTATTGGCTTTCTACAATTGTTAGATATGCCTGACAGTGAAGTGAGAACAATCTTACAAAATTATGGAGACTATGGTGAGGAAGTTGATCATGTACTTGCTGGCCTTGCAAAAATACGCGGAAATATTGATCTTATTGAAAGTGACTTGGCATTTGAAGATGATACCAGGAACTTAATCAAATTGGTGATGCGTTTGTCTGATGATGATTCTCAAGTTGAAGAACTAAACAATATCCTTAACGCTCAAATTTACGAAGAACGAAAGGATCCTCGTATACCTCCTTTATATGTTACTGGTCCTGAAGATTCTCCTTTAGTTAACAAAGAAATTTCTGTACAGAACTCATCTCATAAAAATACTAAAGTAGTTGTTTGCTCTCATTTAGAGCACGACACATCCTGTGGAAATCTTACTGGCCATTCAAATCCGGATAATATTAATACATTTAAAATTGGTTGCGATGTCAATTACAATGGCCGTAGTTCGTTTACTTCCCCACATGCTTCCAGTTGTATCACCATAAATAGTCCACAGAACGTCACAAATAAATTTCATTCTGCAAAATTGTGCAAAACTGATTTTAAGACATTTAATCTTTTCCCAGGTATATCTGATTCGAATATTCCTTCAGAAATTGACTTACGTAACGGCGGGCTTTCAGTACCTTCTACTCCCATCTCACATAAATTATCCTCGACTATTTTAACACCCTCAAATCCTTTTAAAGCAGGTCGTTATACGCTACCGAATGAAGGGATTTCTCTTTCTCCCGGTGGGCGTCGGGCAGGCAATCATTCGTCTCGAGATCGCGAGCATCAGACTCGTCAGGCAGGGACTCCGCCACCAAAACATCGTTTAAAATTTTTTTCTCCGCTTCATCGTAGCAAGTCTCATGAATCTAACCTTGCCAATCGTATTATTTTACCTGTCCTCCCAAATGTACCACAGTTCCACCAAGAAACAAACTCTGCCTGTTGTATTAGTAGACCACAGTTGTTATTATGTAATTCGATTTCTCCGGATGCCTCCAGTAATTTACACAACAATTATTTCAGTTATTCTGAGTGTATAAATGGCAGTCGACCGTGTATAACTACTACTCAATGTGGTGTATGCGTTAACAGCGATGTTATTTCAAATGGGAATAAAACAGTTTCAACATTTTATCATACTTCTTCCATTAGTGATAGTACTTCCACACTTGTCACAAGTCCACGTACCTACGATCAAGGTCGACGCGTGTCTTGTGAATATCGACCATCAAAGACTAATTTACAGCCTTTGATGACTACATCTGCAGATAGTGACAATTTATTAGGTAGGTTTTTTTAGATGACGGATTAAGCATATTTACTGCTTTCTGTTTTTTCTACTATTAATGTGTATATTTCGTAGAAGAAAAGATATATGGTGATCATAATTTCTGTTAGTAAACTTCCAAATTTTCGAGCTCAAGGAATATTCTATTCATATTATTTCATGGATGGTTGTAAGTCAGTATAATGAATTCATAGTTATGCTGGACTTTTCGATAAACTATATAAGAACTCTCGTCTAAATTAGAACGAATAGTTTCACAGTATTTGAGCGCCGAGTTGATGTAAGACATTAAATAGGAATAATATATTTGTAAAATCTCAGCGAATGAATTTGTAGTAAATCCAACGTTTTGCCTGGCAATCTTATATTCGATAATTTTAATGTTTGATTGTAATTCCTTGAAAAAGCTTGGACCAGATTGCCAGGCAAAACGCTGGATTTACTACAAATTCATTCGCTGAGATTTTACAAATATATTATTCCTATTTAATGTTTTTCGATAAACTGTTAAATATATTTTCTAAGCTCTAGAAAACAGTCATAATCTTCGTAGTCATTTTGGTTATACATTTATGTAGTAAACTTCAATGATGGTTGTGATGTAAACTCTTGACTTGTAATCATTCTGTGAAGTAAGATTTATGAATTGAATTTAGTGCTATCAAGTACTCAAAATATATTTATGACTTCACCTACCGGGAAGTGTTATGTGTCTTTCATTGATTTAAATCAATTTGATTGAATACATTTGTATAGTTCACAGTAACATTTAATGGTTCATTACACTGATTAGTGAGGAGTAATTTTGTATCTACCGATATATAGCTGTCAGTTTCTGGTTATTCGTCAAACCTGATAACCGATTTTTTGCGTTATTGTGCAACATCGTGATTTCCTGTGTAAATAGCTTTATATTTTTGAACTTGTCATGCGTTTCACATTTGTTTATGGATTACTTTCCATATCTGTTCAGCTAACTTGTGTAAACCAAAAATAATTAAAAACTGAAAATCTGAGAGGAGACAAACGCTAACGGCCTCTGTACCATTTCGATTGATTCAGAGTCATGTCACCTAACATTTACAACCATTGGTTATAATCATTGCGCTACCTAGCCCATTTAAACATTGCATGAATTCATGGACTGACTTGGTGTTTTAGTTTGGTGGCACAAATCCATGAAGTCACTGACAAGTGGACTGAGCCATGCTGGTAGGTGTAGACTACCTGGGTGGGATTCGCGAGATGATAACAACCGATGGTTAGAGACCTTGAATGAGATGGCTCAAAATCGTTTGCAATGGCGAAGGTGCATCCACTCTTTGTGTTCTCCCAAATTCTAATCTCCTGAATTCTTCATGTTTTTTTTCTCTTTCCAAATTTATCTCACTGGATTTCACTCCTTGAATAACATCTTCAAACCCTAATCTTTCCGATTGCTGCTTATACTTTTACTACTTTTACTACTATGGGATTTGAATCGACAATTGTATCTTTGCGCTAATGTGGTATGACAACTTCAAATGATGTACGTACGTACGAAGTTATACGTTGTTGCTGACTGACTGAGTTTGGTAGCTCTCAGATTTCTTTCAACCTTTTCCTACACCACCCAACGTCTTACGTTGAGGTAGGCAGTGGTTGAGGATACTAAATGTATGCGTCAACTCCCTCGTTTGATGAAGATTTCTCTGATCAATCGACTTACCTTCTTTACATCGTACTCCCCATCTAACCTGAAAATAACTCACTCGATGATAACAAAATGTGTAAACAATCCTGCGAAACTATTCGCTCTAATTTAGACGAGAGTTCTTATAAATCCTGCGAATACATCTATGATCAAGTACTAGTAACTGTTTAGTTCTAAGCTATGAATTACTTTAGCCAGTAGATTAAATGGGTATCCGTAAACATATCTAGTTTGTTAATTTTGTGTATGAAGTAACTAGACTTGCTTTCATTTAAATCTAGGTGTCCTTAATGTTCCAACTAACTCAGGTGGGGCCACATTTGTTGTCAGTGCAAGTGGATTTATGCACAAGTGAGTTAGTGTCCATATTTGTGTTTAACAGATGTATGTGTAGTTTCATAGTAGTTGTATTCAAATTGGCACTTGCTTATTGAATTAGTCATTTAATAGGGAAAATGAGTAGATATATATGTATCTGTTTCTGTAACAGTCTAAAGGAATCTTTTGCTCTCTTCAAGATACAAAACTCCCACAGTTCAAAGTTGAACTTTCTAGTATTATTTAGAGAGTTCGTTAAAACTTAAAGCTAATCAAAGGAAAATTAACCAACTGTTAAAAGTGTTTAAAGTTCACACTGGTAACCAGAATTGAGATTTCCATGTAGTTGAATTCACTAAACATTTTATGCCATATGTTTGTAAGGTTCATTTAGTGGGTTTTTTAAAGTTTAATTGTGAAATTCAGAAGTGTTTGTTTAACCAAACAACTAAATCATTCAATTATTGGTTTAGAAACTATCTTCATATCGTAATTTTACATCATTGAATAATGACTTTGGTTAGACAACCATAGAAAACCAGGGATCACTACTGAACAGCTGCTTCATCTTGGTTTGAGACTCTTCACTTATGGGGATTCACGATTACACTTGGGCCTGAACCCTGGATCTTCAGGCCTTGCATCTAGCGCTTAACTTGCAGGTCACTGAGTTGGTATCCAACATTTCTAACCACTACTTATTGTCATTATTGATATAATTGTCTCACTCCAAATACAACATTGAACTTCACTGGTGACAGCTTCTTAGTGAAACTGTATGGTTTATCTCCCGAAGTACATGTATTTCACTCAATTTCTTCATCTACGTATAGTTTAATATTAATAATATGAATCGATATATATTTATAACATGTAACACTTATTTAACATGTTATTTCATAACTTTTCCATCTCACAGATTTGAATTGGAATCTAAATTTGGTGATTTTGTTAAAGGTACTCCATGCGCTGTTTGTAATAATCGAATGCGTTTTCGTTTACAACATTGTGCTTACTGCAGGTAAGTGTGATAATATATTAATTTAATTGAAATAATAATAATATACATGCAATGTTATATGTTACTATAAAAAGTACACTGGTTGCACCTGTTGTTGTCCTATGTCCCGCCAAATATCACTTGATGAAATCGCCAATCAGAATATCGACTTCTATTACCTTGTTTTTGCTAAATCAATAATGCGTTAACCGACACGAGAAGCCTTAAGTCAACTCTGGAACGTTGTTGGGCCTCTGTATAGAGTAACCTATCGCCTAGCCCAGCTTATTCAGTTCAAAACACAAATATCAACCTCCGATGTGTGAATCGTATATTTCAGACATACATAGTTTATATACAAGCAGACCAGACCGCATCACACCACAAAATGAAAAATAACTATACAATATCAAACCAAAAGTGACTGTGACTATGAGATACTGTAACTAACATAAGTCGTTTAATAGTGGTCAGTTGGTCAAATGAAAGCTTATAATCAGCGAAATATAAGTACATATAATTTAGTTACTTAATAGTGATACAATAAGAATATATCTAATAACAGTCCATAAATAATCCCTAGCTATTACTATTCATTTATTCTCCGTTTGGTTATAACAATGCCTTTATATATGTATATATATAGGTCAAGGCTACGATACCTCAAATCAGCAAAATGGTAGGAAGATCTGATCCTACGAAATACTATTCACAATAAGGAATCAATAAAATCGAGGAATGAAAGAGAAACTAGGAATAATAATTAACTTAAGAATTAGAGAAAGTGAATAAATGTCGTTATTTATTTATTTAATCACATATATATTGGTACGAAGGGCACCAGATACATATGCGCCACACAAAATAATGAGAATGGGAGAAGGAAGAAGATGCGTATATATAAAAGAAGGAAAAAAAAGAAAAGGAGAAGAGTAGTGGTGGGGGGAACTGAATGTACAACCAGAAGAGCTCTCTCAGTTAGGATAGTTATAGCCACTCTTTATGAAGAAAGTAGAAGAAGGTTACAGCAGGACCGCCATTGGCTTCTATTCTGAGCCATATCTGATAACGTCTCTAGCCACTGTGTTGCACCATCTCTCGGACCCCAGCCAGGGAGTCGTGAAGGACCAACAGAAGCTAGCCCTTTGCAGCTTTCTTTCATGCCACGACACCATGCCATACACTGACCTCCTCTCCGCTTTTTCCAACCAGTCCCAGAGTCGGCAAATAATGCACGGCGTGGAAGTCTCTGGGACGACATTCGTAGAACATGTTCGAGCCACCGAAATCGGTGTTTCAAGATGGTGACACCAATTGAATTATCGTCTCTATGCCCGAACACACGATGCCGAACCTCTGCATTACTAACATGGTGTTGCCACTGAATGTCAGCAATCCTTCGGAGACAACGATGATCGAACACAGAGAGTAGTCTAACATCCTCAACTCGGAGAGGCCAGGTTTCACAAGCATAGAGCAAAACCGCTCTCACCGACGCGTTGTAGATCCGACCTTTTACAGCCAGACTAACATCACGAAGTCGCCAAAGATGGCCCAGATTGGCATAAGCCGCTCTGGCTTTCATTATACGTGCATCAATCTCATCACTCACGCCACCACCAGCACTTATATAGCTACCTAGATACACGAACTTCTCAACTACTTCAATCTGCTCACCACCTAGGGTGAGTACAGGATGAGAATCCTGCCAGTCTTGTAGGAGTACTTTGCACTTGGAGGGTGCAAAGCACATACCGTACCTGCGGACACTGATTGCCAACTGGTTAAGTGCGGATCGCATGCCTTGGGCGTTATCGCAGAGTAAGACAATATCATCCGCATACTCAAGGTCGAGAAGTCTTTCTCCAGGCAACATATCCACACCGCCGTCGTATATTTACCCTATACATGTACACATGTTGAAATTCATTTTCTACTTATTACGTAATCTGGTAGACGTGCTTCTTTCAATCATGAACTAATATCATTTCAGTCAGTTATAAGCATTATGGAACCTGATACATATGTCCATAAGTTCAAGTTTGTCACACCATACCAACATCGTGAGATGGGAGGAGTTAGTGATCCACCAATTTAGGCCCAACAACATCACATTCAATCTCACGTCTTTCATTGACCCTAAATTCCTCCTCCAGTATGTTTTAGTCTCGTTTTGTCTGTATTATCGTCTTCTATTTTTAAGCTGTAATCAGTTGTTCATTTTTGTATTGGTTGTTTGAATCTTTCCATTGATGTTTAGAATTGCAATCGATCAGTCTCTTATTGGCATATTTGTATACTCTGTGGATTGCCTCAAGTCACAAGCACTATACAAAGTTTGTACGTTGTGACTGACTGACTGATAAGCAGAGGTGGGTGGTGGCTAGCAATGGGACTCAGCCGACGAGTCTCGAAATAGGACGAAACGCGTGTCCTGGATTCCACTGCTAACCACCATCCATCTGTACGTAATCAGTTATTATCATCTTTTAACAATTTTCCATGATTATTATTCAATTTTGATTGAGATCGTGAATCGATCAATGTTAGACCACCGTTGAAATCCTGGAAGGATTGGACAGTCGTTTCGTCCTAGTTTGGGACTCTTCAGCAGTGTGCATCCACGATCCTAAACTAGGACAAAACGACCGTCCAATGCTTACAGGTTTTCAATAGTGGTCTAACATTGATCGATTTATGATTTCAATCAAAGCTCAATCTCCACAATCCTATACTGATATTATTCAATTGTTATTATGACCTTTACGTTTTCCGTTTCTTTGCATATCTGTCAAGTAGACAATTATTTCTCATATTTCTAACCTGTAAATTATTTCCACTCCCTTGATCTTTACGCGACCTCATTTGATATTTGAAGTCTCGAATCTCTTTATGATGCAATCTTTTCTATCTCTCTATAGACTCGTATAGTTACCATACAACTAATGTCAGTCAGTCAGCTACAACGTAGGACTAGGCACATATATGCATCCGTCCAAGTTGTCATACCTCGAAATATGAACAATGACGGGGCGGACTTGCATGCATATAGCAAACAATTCTCTTTGAACATATCACACAACAATACTGTCATGCACTGTCCCATCGCCCTTGGCAGATTAGACAACCCAAAAGTCATGAGAACACCATCAGGGCAAACGACAGGCTAGGTACTCCCCCCTCCAAAAAATACTAATGTACAGCTTAAGTAAATGATTTCATCAAAAAGACAAAATTTTTTCCTGTGAATTCGCTTTATTTTTTATCATTAAATGTACAAATAAATTGCTTGAGATTAGTTTTCAATGTCTTGACTTATCTGATAAATAAGATTGTTATTGTAACACTATACACAATTCTTTGATTTTTTTTCTAGAATCAAAGTACATAAAAGTTGCGTTTCTCATTCAAGACGACTTGCTTGCACAGGACCTTCCAGTGGACAAAACAATGAATTACACGAATTCAAAGGTAATCCATTTTAATATTCTCTTAAATATATAAGTATGAGAGGTGATATACCAGATGTTTGCGGAAATATATGAAATTATAAGAGGGTTTTTGTGGAGATTTATTAATTTTATATAGTTAGGATCATGAGTCAATTGAAGCTAGACCACCGTGGAAAACCTGGAAGCACTGGACGGCCGTTTCGTCCTATTGTGGGACTCCTCAGCAGTGCGCATCTACGATCCCGCCTCGCGGGGTTCGAACCCAGGACCTACCAGTCTCGCTGGATGCCGGCTCAGTGGTCTATCGGTTAAGTGCTCTGGCGCAAGACTGGTGGGTCCTGGGTTCGAATCCCGCGAGGCAGGATCGTGGATGCGCACTGCTGAGGAGTCCCACAATCGGATGAAACGGCCTTCAAGCAGTGCTTCCAGGTTTTCTATGGTGGTCTAGCTTCAATTGACTCATGATGTTAACTATATAAAATAGTTTAAATTACCCAGATTTTTTTGTATTGTCGATGTTCTTACGTCTAGCTAAGCAAGTGATTCTAAGTTTATACATTTTTGTTTTCGATGACATTGATCCATCCTAAATCAGCTTAATTTGTCTCGAATTAACAGATTCACCACTTTATAATCAAAATAATTTGACTTTCACCTGTTAAACCTCATCTACTTTATGCTTCAACAGCCAGGAAATGTCAGTAATTCACAACTTACATAATGTGTGTTATCATAATAACATACGATTTGTTACTGAGTTACGTAGTTTCGCTTGGATGTCAAATTCATTTGTGATTGGATTAACCAAACTCTGTTGATGTATACTTTCATGTTGAATCAAGTGAAGCGTAACATACGTATTCAACTGGGGTCAACCATAACCATAGGAATGGTGAAGTCTAGTAGGCCCTTCTGGAGAGAAGAGTACTACATCGAAGCACGGCACAACTACCGGGGCGGGATAGCTGTTTCTGCACTGCTTACGCAGAACCATTACATAACACTCACATTCGATTTTTATTTTTTGGGCAGACTCATTCTTTTACCATTCTTTTGAACCCTCAATAGTTATGCAATGACTCTTTGTAGCATTCGTAATCGTTTGTGGGTATAGGTAGGGTGGTTGATTAGGCCTATCTCCACTACCCACATTATCGCTCACGTTAGTACATGGGATGGTTGCCATGATCCAGGAGGCACGACGAGGACGTGTGAGTCGGATTTTGCCTCCCATACGTATCCAACTACTTAAAAGATAATTTTCATAACGATTCATTTTGATAAGTTATATTGGTAATTTCATTGATTGTTAGTAATAGTACCTCCATAGTCAATTGTTATTTTGAACTAAGTGCGGTTTCATATTCTCTCTTTCTCTCTCTCTCTGTTATCTACACTTTTGTAATTGCATCTTACAGTTTTTCTTTGAAGGTATTTAAAAAAGTATTAAATACGATGATAACACAAATTTAATTACATTAATTCGAACAAAAGAAGGAGTTCAACAAGCATATTTGAAATTCCTTCACCCTTATTTTATTATTTATTTGAACACATAAATATTGGTACAAAGGGGCACCAGATATATATGCGCCACATAAATCTTATTTGATTTGTGTGAGGGCTGTGATACTGCCCAGGTGCCCAAACTGAAGGAAGTGGTTTTCTTAGGGGGGCCCACACTCGGAGCCTTTGACCTAAAGGTCTAATCCACAAGGCAGTGAAGCAACGTAAGGAGATGTCCCATGGTAGCCGGTGAACAACGATTGATTCATACGCCATTAGTTCTCTCAGGATACTGAAGTCCATGTGAACCATTGGTTTGTAATGAGGGTTTTCCAACTACTCTAGCTGGACTCACCGTGTCCACCGGTGCGGTTAAAGCGCCGGACATCCGCTTTTCGTCCTCTCACTTTCGTGAACAACACCCCCACCACGAGAAGGCAGTGAGTGCTTCCAGTGCTTCCCGGTTTTCCACAGTCGTCTAGCTTCAATGCACTCATGATTTCAACTATATATAAAAATCTGATTTTATTTGCCTAATTCGTTTTATGTTCTTTTATATAACAACCACGTGAAGTCATCTGAAGGTCTCACTTTTCAAACCTAGTAGAGTTTCTTATCTGAACTATGCTCTATCGTACTTCAATATGACCATCTAGGCTGTATCACTATAATTGATTCGAAGTTATAGTTTTTATGATGTATAAATTATAGTGATACAGCCTAGATGGTCATATTGAAGTACGATAGAGCATAGTTCAGATAAGAAACTCTACTAGGTTTGAAAAGTGAGACCTTCAGATGACTTCACGTGGTTGTTATATAAAAGAACATAAAACGAATTAGGCAAATAAAATCAGATTTTTATATATAGTTGAAATCATGAGTGCATTGAAGCTAGACGACTGTGGAAAACCGGGAAGCACTGGAAGCACTCACTGCCTTCTCGTGGTGGGGGTGTTGTTCACGAAAGTGAGAGGACGAAAAGCGAATGTCCGGCGCTTTAACCGGATTGGTGGACACGAAAAGTCCCATGCAGTCCCATAATAGGACGAGACGGTCGTCCAGTGATTCCAGGTTTTCTTTCCATGCTGGTCTAGCTTTAATTGATTCATGATCTCAACTATATAAAATTACTAAAATCTCCACCCCCCCCTTTTTTGTAATATTCTTAACAATATGTCAATTAAAAGTTGTGACTTATTGAATTAATTATTAATTTATCTTGGTTTATTTTAATTGAAACTTCATTATATGTCATGTGTGATATACACAATAATAGGAGTATTGGTAACAGTAGTAATAGTAGTAATATTAGTAGTAGTGATATTTGTAAATAAATTTTTCATATGTATATCACGTTTTCGAAATTCAATAAATAATTAGTTGTAATCTACAAACATGATGTTTATTTATTTGAACATATAAATATTGGTACAAAAGGTCACACAATAACAATGAGACAGGGAGCAGTTATCATTGATTTGTGTCAGTGCTGAAATACTGAGTGGGTGCTCAAACCAAAGCAGGTGGTGGTTTTCTTAGGGGACCACACCCGGAACTTTTAACCTAAAGGATCTGATCCACAAGGCAGTGGAGCAACATTACGAGATGCAGTTCCATGGTAGTCGGTGACCAATAGTTGGTTCATAGGCCATTTGTTCCCTCAGGATCCTGGAGCCTATGTACACCATTGGTTTGGAACTGTGGTTTTTCAACTGTTTTAATTGGATCCTTCATATCCACCAACCTCGTTGGGGCTCTGGACATTCACTTTTCGTCCTCTCAATTTCGTAAACAACACCTTAGACGCGAGAAGGTTTCCTGACATTGGCTGTATACGCGTGGTCATATGAGAGCATTATTCTAGGTGGAGAGGACCCTCCCTTCTCTCGACCGTACCAGGGCATTTGGAGGCAAATATGATATGCTAGATTGATTAATCTAATGACAAATTATTTTCGAGTGGTTCTCAACATTTTTAGCCTTTTTTGTTTTACTAAGGATACAATACACGAATTAATAAATTAATGATTTATGATGAAAGTGAAGTGGTAACTTATGGATTAAAACATTCACTTTTCAGTCATTAGTAGTAGTTTTTGGCACTTTGGATTCAGCTTCACCTATTTTTTAATTTTACCAGTCAGATAGTTGTATTAAATTACATTTATTTTTATTTTATTTTATTTAAACACATAAATATTGGTGCAAAGGGGCACCAGATACATATGCGCCACACAAATCATTCGATTTGTGAAGGCTGTGATACTGCCCAGGTGCCCTATCCCTCCTAGAATGAATAGTAGAGGGATCCCTATGTTACCTCGTAGATGGTTGAAATGTCCGCGTATGGGAGACATGATATTATATATATTCATTCCATTGAATTACATACTACTTATCCTGATAGATATTAGTAGTACGTGGCAGCAATCAGAAGTGGAACGCATAGTAGCGGGACATTGAATTTAAGAGAACAGAAACTGAAATAGAGAGAAATTGTAATAACAACAGAATTGAAAGTTTGTAAAGGACAACTGAAAGATGTGCAAATAATGTATTGAATGAATGGTTTTCATATTTTACAAAGGCACTCTTTAATTTTGCATTCAATAATAAATTAGTTTCCCCAATCTGGGTTCTTGTTCACTTCAGTATCATAAATCTTCATCAAAAAATAACTTATACCTCAACGTTGAGTACATAAACATTGAAGTTAGACATTAACACCGTTGGATGCCGTCCGGCTCAGTGATTTAGAGGTTAAACGCTCGAGCGCAAAACTGATAGGTCCTGGGTTTGAATCTCGCGAGGTGGGACTGTGGATGCGAACTGCCACTAAGGAGTACCATAATAGGACGAAATGGCCGTCCAGTGCTTCCAGGTTTTCCATGATGGTCTAGCTTCAATTGACTCACGCCATGTGTTGTACATATTGATAGTTGTACTGTTTAAAGACAAAAATAGTTGATACATTTTAATATGTTAATAAGATATATGATTATTATCTTGATTATTACTTTTTAAAGGTTCTCCAAATATATTTCGTCAATTGCATGCAAATATCTTAACAACTAGTCAAACAAATCTTCGTCCTGCACATTCTACTCCAGCATTTCAAGTTAGTTATTAATGATGATAATAATAGTAATAATGTTTTGTTCTTTTTGTACAATGTTTGTACAATCTTAATAAAATTATTAAAGAAAACAAATAAATAATATGCATAGAAACTTAATTATATCATTTGTTGTTGGATTCTATCATAGCTTAAATAACTGTTACACTATGTGTCAGACTTAATCAGTGGAGCTCATTCATATCAGGTAGAGACAGGTATCTACCTCAGTACAATGGAAGATGGTCGCGCAATTTCGTGAATTGATTGAGGTTAGATATTAACATCGTTGGATGCTGGCTCAGTGGTCTAGAGGTTAAGTGATCGCACGTGAGACTGATAGGTCCTGAGTTTGAATCTCGCGACGCGGGGTCGTGGATGCGCACTGCTGAGGAGTCACACAATAGAACGAAACGGCCTTCAAGCAGTGCTTCCAGGTTTTCTATGGTGGTCTAGCTTCAATTGATTCATGATCTCATCTATAAAATTACAAAAATCTCCACGAAACCCCATTCTGACAATTAGTCAGTCTAGTTAGAATTTTTAATACTGTTCGATTATTGTTATATTTTTGTTATATCTAATATTGGAACACTTAATATCGACTTTCTAATTGTGTCCTAATCCTCCAGCTATTTCTTTCACTTTAACCTTGAAAAAAGTTATTATAGTAGTATTTCTTTTCTGTACTGGGAATTGTGTTTAGTGTGATCAGTTTTATTTGTTGTATACCATTAAAATAAAATGATCAAATTTGAGTCCCGGAGTGAACACCAACTCTAGAATGAAGGTACATCCAACTGACTGACAAGTCCCAAATAGGATGAAACATACTTTTTCAATTTCACTTCTAGCCACTATCTATCTTTGATTATGAATACAGTGATCTTGAGTGCTATTAGAGGTATGAGGGCGGTTATCACTTCCCGGTTGCCCACACCGTGGAAGGGTTCTTCTAGAGGTACCTGAAAAGGAAATTGGATTAGAAGTGGTCTTAATGACCTGAGAGCGTGACCTCAGTGCCCAAGGGACAACTGCTTGAGGTCGGTCACACACAACCTTTTTGTGGGTAGTTTTTGTGTTAGCTCCGTTCTTCTAAGGACCTTACCGCCGGAGACGGATATCCGTGGGATAAGGCGAGGTGTGCATTTTTAGGGTCGACGTTTTCTAACCCCACCCCTCCTTGTGGGAAGGCACCATCGCTGTTATGCTGGTTATCTGAAGGAAACACCTTACTGCTGTCACACCTGTGTACAGTCGCCTTCGGACCTTGGGTTTGCTGCTTCTAATCTTACCGCTCTTCAACCGACTTACCTGGAATGGTAGGACCTCGAGGAACGATTGTTCCAGCCAGCATAACTCGATTGCTTCATCACGATAGGCAAGCCCGACCACCACGTCAAGGTAGCAGCAGCGGTCGGGATCTATCTTTGCTTATAAAGCATATAAGTGTTTCTTTTAAATGCTTGAATTGAACTGATCACATTTTTTCCTGACAACAAAAAAAACGTAGTCAATCTATTTGATTTTTATACATTTTCAAGTGTTTTCATCATTGTGTAGTATATCTAACTTCCTTTTATTATTTTAACCTGTAATATTTAAATCAACTTAATTGTAATGAACAGAATATAATGATCATGTCATAAACGACTTATTCAGAAAGTATGCTAATCTTCTTAGTTTTTTTTTGTTGCTTAAGAGCATGTAGGCTGATTTTGCTTAGTTATTATTACCTTTACATAATACAAAGTTAACGAGTTTCAAAGCACATTTTTTTTTAAAAACTGAAACTTATTAATTTTATTTAAGCACATAAATATTAGTATGAAGAATTACCATATACATATGCGCCGCACAAATCTCATTTTATTTGTGTGAGGGCTGGAATACTGGCTGAGTGCCCAAACTGAAACAATTGGTTTTCTTGGGGGACCACTCCACAAACCTCGGACCTAGTGGTTTGATCCGCAAGGTAATGGAATAACGTCAGGAGATGCAGTCCCATGGTAGCCAGTGACCAACAATAAGTTGATACGCTATTTGTTTTCTTAGGATCCTGGAGTCCATGTGCACTATTAGTTTGGAGTTGTGGTTTTCTAACTGTTGTAGTTGGGTCTTCCATATCCACCAACCTGGTTAAAGCGTCGAACATTCGCTTTTCGTTCTCTGAATTTCGTAAAGAACTTTGCGGCCTCGAAAAGACGGCGAGTAAGACCTCCCTGATATTGGCTGTATACATGTGGGCATATGAGAGCATTTTTTGAGGGAGAGCTGACTCTCCGTATCATCGACCGTACCAGGCATTCATGGGCCTTCAAATTCATATTGAATTTCAAAGCGAAATGCTCAAATTAGTAACGTGATAACTGAGTTAATGACAATAGATTAAGTTACATTTACTTTCATTTTTTCAAATAAAACTTATCATTTTATTTTTGTTATCTCTCTTTCCCTTTATCTATGTGGTGTCCAGAGTTCTGATTCCAATAGTGCTTCTTCATGTACAAGTTCTACACCAGGTTCACCATTTGTCACGGGTACATCATTAATTAGTACAACATTAGCTGCATCATGTTGTACTCGTTTAGACAGTAGTTATGTTGCTGTTGGTAGTAATAATATTAGTGGTAGTTGTAATACTACTGGTCAAATGATTTCATTATCTTCTCCTCCATTACGAAATTTAAACAACAGTGGTGGTTTTATATGTAATCATTCTAATACAAGTCATTTATCTTCACCAGTTAGTATACATTCTTATGGGACAGTTAATACTGGAATTGTAACTAATACACAACAACAACAACAAGTACATTCTCCTCGACATTCTGGCCAGTGTTTTAATCATTTTGAATTTCCAAGTAAGCATTTCCCTATTAATTCATATTTAGTATATACACATTTACATCGTTATCTTTTTTTGTGTAGTCATTATCATGTCATGTCAAACACTTAACATTTACGTCTACCACTTCACTAAATCTCATTGGGAAATCACCAGTCGCTTACCTTATTTTGTACTGAAACAAATTGAATACAATTATACTTGATCTACCAGCTTTTTAATAATTAGTTCCGTGTCTAGTCTTAGATGGTTAAGTAAAAACGTGCTCAATCTCTCCCCCCCTATATCTAGTAAAATCGGCGGCCTAAACCAGCAGGTCGAAAACGTAGTAAAAATATATGGTAGCAAATACTGGGGTGGGGTGACCGTCAACCCTACCTAGGATTGCTTTTACTTATGTGTATGTCATGAAGCTCAAGAGTGAAAGTTTTTCTATAAGTGGTACACATATGTATAAAAGACATCCAGTTGTAACAAACTCGTTCTAAGGGATCGGAGACTATCTGCCTCCAAGAGGGGTGATATACCTATGTGTACTCTATGGGATATATAAGCGAAAACTTATGTGTTACTGGTGTTCATGTTACGTATACTTACCAATGGTGCGGCTTGCGTGCTAAGATCTGGGAGTATCGGTTTCCCTACAAAATCACATCTATATGGGACGTCCATGAGCTTTGAAACACGGAAACTGTTTTCAGCATAGCCAGGAAATTTCACCAGATAAGGCTTTACGAACCTTGAATTGGCTGAACACCAAACACCGTGTTCGCTCTTCAGGCATGAAAGTGTATCTCATTTTTTTTAGTAGTTTGATATGTGTCAGGCACCCAAAAACAACATCTTACCTGAAATGAATTTGTGTCGACCAAGTTGCCGCACACAACTTCAGCATAAGGAAAAGGGAATTTAACAAAATCTTTAGCGAACGGATTTAGATTGATCATGGTACTAATAAACAATGCAAAATAATATCATTCGATAGTAAATTTATGGGATAAAAAGAATACGAAACATTATTTAAGTTCAAAGTCCTAGAGACCGATAAACGGTGAGTAGTATACCATCCATTTTTCAATGTTCAATAAGTATGCAATGTGTAACATTTTCGGGTATCTTTCTGTTCACTTATTGAGCGTATGCTACGTATAAATATATGATTTTGTTAGAACTCTAGCTTGCTCTAGTTTTCCTCATTTTTCATCTATCAGTCTGGGATGCACCACACCGTTGTTTTCATAGTTGGTGGATTCAAATAACTTGTATTTCTTAAGGTGAAATCTTCAGTAAAACTTACGCTTACATACATCACATGCCTACTAAATTAACAGAAAGATGGGAGGAAATACAGGTTACCACATACTTATTGAAAATTGAACAACAGGTGGATGACTCCACACCATATAATTGAGGTTATCTAACTGGATTTTAGGAATGTAATGCGTTGGCTCATTCTCAGATTCTCAAAATTCGGTGTAAATATGCTACAGAGCCCGACCTTAGCTCCTATTTTGCTGTGGCGTCGGGCTTGTCTGTTGTGATGACTGTGGTGAGCTAAATTGGCCGGCACAAGTGTTTTTAGGTCCTATCATGCTAGACAGGTCGGTTTGAGAACTGTAAAACTAAAAGCAGCAACTTAAGACCCGAGGGCTAAGAGTTAATGTTGGTTGTAGAGAGGTATGACAACAGTAAGATGTTTCGACCAATCAATATCTGCAGCGATACTACCTCATAATCAAAGGAAGGGGGTTAGAAAAGGTGGAACGTAAAAGCCACACCTCGCCTTACTCCGGTGGTTAGGCATTTTGAAGTGCAGAGTCAACACATCAAAAACGTCCCATAAAAAGATCGTTAGACCGGTCTCAAGCAGTTTTCTCCTGGTTTCTACGGTCATACTCCTAGGTCAATAAAATCACCACTAGTCCAGCTTCTTCTTCATGTCCCCAAAAAAAAATATATTTTTCACCGTATGGACGCCTGGGAAGTGGCAACTGCTCTCATCAATCTAACAGCACCCGAGATCATCATGCTACAGACGTGAGGATTCCAAGCTGGGTTTAGATTTTGATAAAGTTTGATAATTTCTCAAATGTATGTCCCACCTACCTCTAGCGTGTTTTTACAGTTAGAAGTTCTATACTTGAACACCTAATCGACAGTAATCATTCTACGAATCCATAGTTTGATTTGATAGTTGTTTATGAACAGTTGATAATAAATTCGTTGAAAAGAGATCCCTTTCGCTGAACTTCGTGTTTTTAATTTTTACTGTTTAAATGGGAATTACCTGTCAATAATTGGTTTGTTCTCTGGGACAGTGGTTGTAATTTGGTCCCGTAGTTTTTCGCCATCCCATATTCTATGGGAAATTGTAAATTACTTGAAATCTTGTTCACTGATGATTCATCTTCATTGTTAGATTGTGGTATCGGTTATTATGTTAAGCCCATATGCCTTATTCTAACTTCTGGACAAGTCAATTCACCTATCCATCATGAGTCATGTTTTCACCTTGTCAATTACTCACTTATTAACCCTGACCATTTTTATATGAGCGTAGATGTGTGTACACTTCTTACTCTATTCATCTCATGTCTGTAACTTATTCTTGTGTGACTATAAATATTGATTAACGCTTGATAAAAGTGAGTTGGCTTATCCGCCATCTCCAATGCACATGTTTACTCATGTGCTTATGACTTTCTGGCCTGTGTCATTTGTTAATGAAACTGTATCTGCCGCTTCTCTTTGCCTTCTAATTTTTATGCACCGTTGAGATTGGAATCATAACGGTTATCCAGGTGAACGATTAGCGAAGCATGGCACTACAAAGTTTTCTAGTGTAGTTGTTGTGGTGCATACTACTTATGTCTGTAGACATAATTAGCATGTAACACCAGTCTGAAGTAGATTGCTTGGCAGCAGAAGATTGAAAATATCGGATTGAAGGGAACAGGGATGCAAACAGAGAGTAATTATAATAGCAACAAGAATGAAGAAACGATGAAATTTGGTCTCCCCCACGACATATTTTTTTCTCAGAAGGGGTTTTGTGGAGATTTCAGTATTTTCATAGTTGAAATCATGAGTCGATTGAGCTAGAACACTAGGGAAAACCTGGAAGCATTGGACGACCGCTTCGTCTTCTGGTGGGACTCCTCAGCATTGGTTGAGGTTAGACATTAACACAGTCGGATGCCGGCTCAGTGGTCTATCGGTTAAGTGCTCTGGCGCGAGACTGGTAGGTCCTGGGTTGGAATCTCGCGAGTGCGGGATCGTGGATACGCACTGCTGAGGAGTCCCATAATAGGACGAAACGGCCTTCTAATGCTTTCAGGTTTTCCATGGTGGTCTAGCTTCATTCAACTCATAATTTCAACTATGAAAATATTTTCTTCTGTCCGGTAATTAATTAGAATTGTTCTTTCGTATAGTACTTATTTTCCTATTGGATACGTTCGAATATTCCATGAATGGTGTCTACTTCTATAGTTTACAAATAATATCACTTATAATACTTGTATTGTATTTCTATTATATTCAAGGTGTCAGTCATCCAATCATAGATAATCAGTTACTAGACGGGAATTTAAGTAATAATGTGAATAATAATGATTCTTTAATTAGGTAAGTGTTGGGTTATTGGATTATTACTTATTATTTTATTTAATCACATATATATTGGTACAAAGCGGCACCAGATATATATGCGCTACACAAATCACATTTGATTTGTGTGAGGGCTGTGATACTACCCAGGTGTCCAAACTGTAGCAGGTGGTTTTCTTAGGGGACCACACCCGGAGCCTTTGACCTGAATGTCTGATCCACAAGGCAGTAGAGCATCGTGAGGAGATGCAGTCCCATAGTATCCGGTGACCAACGGTTGATTCATATTCCCTTTGTTCCCTCAGGATACTAGAGTCCATGTGGACCATTGGTTTGGAATGAGGGTTTTTCAACTCCCCTAGGTGAACTTTCTGTGTCCACCAACCTGGTTAAAGCTCCTACCGGACATTCTCTTTTCGTCCTCTCAATTTCGTAAACAACACCTATGGTACGAGAAGACAGTGGGTAGGACTTCCTTGGCAGAGGCTATATACCTGTGACCATATGAGAGCATTTTGAGAGGGAGAGAGAGAGAAAGAGTGGACTCTCCTCACTCTCGGGCGTACCAGGGCATTTGGGGGCGGTTATTGGATTACCGCCTCACATTACCAGTAGATCGGTTTTATCACATACTTTATTATTATTATTATTTTACATGTCAATCTTCACTCAATAGAACTTAGTGTAGCTTATCTTCAGACTAATTTACATCACTGGAACCAGAAACTTAAGATATAAACAGTTCATCATAATCTGACCATAGGTTATACTTTATGAGACTATTCATATATTTCTCGGTTTGACTATATATATTATCCACTGATAATGCTAAACAGTAATTAGTTTCCACATTACTGAACTTTAATATTCCACAAGAAGGATAGAAGTATTCTTCACAAAAAAAGAAATAAATTATTAGCTATGCACAACTATTCACCGTTTATTGTCAGCTTCAGCTACGTTGATTGTAGTTTATTATGTAGTAGGTCTTATTAGCTCTTCCAAGCTGGGTATTTCTGTCTCCTTGTAGGTGTTTTTGGTTATGCAGTAAATCTATACAGTCAAAGTAGAAGATATGAATAAATTGGGTTATAATAGTCATTCGTTACTAAAAAAGTCGTTATTGAATGATTTCATTGGTAATCTAGATAAGTAGACTAATTCTTGTACTGTACTAGTGTTTTCATTGGACCCTAAGTTAGCGGTTGGTAATGGTGAAACATTTGTTTCGAAACCTGAAGATTTGAATTTCGAATCCTGAGGAGTGCTGAAGAGTCTTGTACTAGGATGAAACACCTATCTAATACTTCCTAGTTGTCAATGGTACTTATGTGGTGGATGCTACTTGCAAGGTTGTTTGTAAGTGTTGTGTAGCGGAAGGCGACGTCGGAGCTGCTACAATTGTTAGATGGAGTGAAGAGTTTCAGTCCATCGAAAGTACGGCGTTGGCAGAACACTTGGAGACCAAACGAGAAGACACCGCGAGATGTGAATGGAAAATTGAAAGCTATACATAATATATTATATAAATATTTTTTAACGTCTCACAGCAAATACACATCCCTCTTTCCTACTGTCGTGTTTTATATTTCAACTAAGGTCAATCTGTGATACACTCGCTCATCCTCTAAAAAAGACCTAAGATATGTGTTAATACAAGGAATATGTACTGTAAATGTTTTGTCGTTCAAATCAGTCTAATTTATGAATATTGTAACCTTAAACAATTTAGTATCAAACTGTCAATCTTTCATAGTTGAAAGCGTGAGTCAATTGATGCTAGACCACCATGGAAAACCTGGAAGCACTGGACGGCCGTTTCGTCCTCTTATGGGACTCCTCAGCAGTGCGCATCCACGATCCCGCACTCGCAAGATTCGAACTGTCAATCGTCAATTTATTGTCATGAGTAACATGTTATCAGTGATGTTGAAATGAATTTCTTTTTAGTGTTTCATTTCAATCAGTTATACACATGAATAGATTGATTATGATGTATTAAATTAGAATAGATCATATAATCAGCACAAAAAACTAGATCGAAATTTGTCCGATCAAGTGATTTACGTAATCACATTGATTGTACAAGTGATGCCAATTAGTTATTGTTATGTCATTGATATAAATATGCATAATCTATCCATTCAGTCAGTCATTCACAACGTAGAACTTCGTACGTACGTACATACATCAGTTCGAGTTGCCATACCATATTAGCACAGAGATGCAGTTGTCGATTCAAACCCCATAGTGGTAGAAATAGTAAGAGTATAAGCATTAATGTGAAAGATTAGGGTTTGAAGATGTTATTGAAGAAGTATTATCCAGTGAGATAAATTTGGAAAGAGAAGAAAGAAAGGGACGTGAAGAATTAGAAGATTAGAATTTGGTAGAACACAAAGAGTGGATGCACCTTCGTTATTACAAACGATTTTGAGCCATGTTGACCCTCGAAATGTCATGTCTCACCTTATCTCACGGATTTCCGTCTCCGGCGGTAAGGCCCTTTGAAGAACGGGACTAAGACGTTGAAAATTCCCCACAAAAAGGCCGTGCATGACCGGCCTCAAGCAGTTGTCCCTTGAACTCTAGGGTCACGATCTCAGGTCGTTAAAATCACCGTTAATCCAACTTCCTTTTCAGGTCCCTCAAGAAATACCCTTCCACGGTGTGGGCAGCCGGGAAGTGATATCAGCCCTCATACCCGTGACAACACACAAGACCAAGTTGGTCACATTCAAATCCTTTCTACACCTTCCAATAACACATCAAAAATCTATCCATTCAAGTTTCATTCAAGGATAATCAGTTATTAAAAGAATATCTCTAGCCAAAAACTAATCAAAATAACTGGAATTATATAAAGTTAAAAGTATAAACTATTATTACATGGTTGAAATCATGAGTCAATTGAAGCTAGACCAACATGGAAAATGTGGAAGCACTGCTTTAAGGCCGTTTCGTCCTATTATGGGACTCCTCAGCAGTGCGCATCCACGATCCCGCCTCGCGAGATTCGAACCCAGGACCTACCAGTCTCGCGCCAGAGCACTTAACCGATTCAATTGACTCATGATTTCAACTATGAAAATACTGAAATCTCCACAAAAACCCCTTCGGATTATTATTACATGGTTATGCAGTGGTCGGTATTTTAATGGCTCTCCGTTTATCCTGTCATGGAAATAATGTTAGCATTTTTGAGAAGTTAGACAATAGTATTATATCTACCTCTTTCTCTCTTGCTTACCACGGTAAGATTGTTTCCGAATAATCGTAGGTGAATCATATCTTATTGAATAAGCTGTAACGAAATGAGATTTGAGCTGTTAGTAAAATGCGTTCACTAAATTTTGATTCATGCATGAATTAAAGAATCTTTGGAACTATACCACATCATCCTTTCATTTAAGCTGTATGAAACAACAATACAACTATTTATGACGTAACTTTGATCCATTCGTGTAGGTTTCGACCTGGCTGTTTTACATGGCTTGATTAGTAGAATTTCCGTTGGTTGGTACCTGAAACTAATCATAATTGACTTTAAATAGTATTTATTTATTTTCTGACCTTTAAAAATTCTATTAAAACTTCTAATCATTTCTTCTTCTGTCTTTTTGTAGTACTGCGTCTTCTGCAGAAAGTGAAAGAACTGTTATTAACGTAAGTTTTGTTATCATGTGCCACATTTTATCGATCAACAATAGGTTGTGGACGTTAATGGTTATTTGTTGAATAATTCATTTATACTCCTCCAAACAGATTTACCTCTCAATTACTGTGTAGTTTAATATTACTATTATTGTTATAAACATGATAGACTCATCTAAGGGGTGCGAATTCGTTACTTACCTTATGTTCGAACACCGGTGATACTACTAGGCTGTTAAAAATAAAGTAGGTGAAGCGGAATTCGGACATTCGACTTAATGGCTAAAAGTCAAACGGCATACCAACTATTGAGTCATCGCTCCACAAGTGTAGTTTGAAGACAGTAATTAGTCTATCCGGGTTTGAATGGTGCTTTATGATCTCAGTGAAATTTCTCGGCTACTGTCGGTCCCAAGCCCGGGTAAAGGAGGAGGGTTGGGCGAGGGGTTAGCGATCCCATCCCATAGAAAAACCAACTCGTTAAAAATACGCTAACCAGAAAACATTATTCAAACCATTTAAACTCTGCCCTGGGAGTAGAAGGAAAAATGACGTCTCATGATGAAAGCCGAGTTCCTTCGGAAGTTATGAGGCCGATGCACCTTCTAACAACCAGAGTAACAATTATTATAGGTACATGAAACGTCCGGATAATGTGAGAGATCGGAAGAATCTTCCAAATCGCTGCTTGTTGCTGCATTTTCCAACTTTACCACATGAAATCCAAAGTCAATTAGTCAGTCAGTTATTTAGTCTTCAAGCCTAATTGTTGACCATTCCTTTGAAACTTAACTGTTAATTCACGTTTACTTTTCAATTAATTTAATAATTATTTCGAAATGTAAATTTTTTTTCCTTTCTATGTATAGTAATATGTGTGCCAATTATTTTGAAATATCCACCTACTCTCTCTCTGTGTATCACTTACAGACACATGAACACGTACACATTTTTAGTAATTTTATTTGTTTACTTTATGTTTTGATCTTTTATGTTTACTCAGAATTCAGTACACCGGTTTGAATCAATGGATAGTCAAGATGAATCATCTTTGATGAGAACTAATAGTGTAAGTTTACTGTTGTTTTAGTAAATGTACCTTTTTATGTTTATAATATTATTCTGTAAAATAGGTGAATATTTGAAGGCACATCTAGCTGACGAGTTCCAAATACGACGAAAGGTGCGTTTTGCATTGTACTGCTAGCCACTATCCATCTTTTCCTAAAATGCTTGTCAATTAAGGCTATATCGAGGCAATATGCACAGTATGCACATATACTAATTAGAGACTGACCAGTTGCAGTGCTAACACATCCATTGGAAGATTCAAACTAACAATACTAAGTGAATTTAAACTTCACTCCATTGCATAAGCAAGTGGTTATCTGGACTCAGTAGCTGAATGGATAACGCGATGGCGTTTGAAGCGAAAGGTACTGGGTTCGAGTTCCAGAGTGAACATCAACTCTGAGATGCAGGTACATCCAGCTGACGAGTCCCAAATAGGACGAAACGCGCGTCCTGGATTCCACTACTAGCTACTATCCATCTTTGCTTACAATAGGTGAATATTTGCTGAAAATAATTCTGTTTTCTGTTTATTTCAGAAATAATAAATTTAAGGTTAAAAGAATGAAAAATTGTCTACTTTGTCTTATAGTGAGGAAAATTTTCGTTTTCTATGATGAGATTCGGTAATACTGTACAATCGTACTTGTAGTTATACATCGTAGTCTATGATTGTGTCAATAACCAATATATCGGGAGTTGGTTGAAAAATTCAAATAGTCTAATGATTAAGCGCTCATTACAAGATATGAAGGTCTTGGTTCTAATCCTCTGTAAGGTCGGGAATGTACGCTGCTGAAAGAGATTCTATACTCGGATGAGACGATGATCCGATGCTTCCCAGTTTTTAATGGTTGTCTAATTTAGTTTGGTTCATGGTCTTGTAGTGCCGTGCTTCGTTGACCGTTCACCGAAATGGAGTTTATCATTACCGTCTTTGGACCAGGTATCTACTGGAAAATACAATCTGTGGCTCAGCTGTATTAAATATCCTTTAAATTATTTAAACAATTGGTTTTTCAAGACTTCTGCAACCGTTTCTCCTTTGAAATTCGTGTTGATGAACATAATTTTCAGTACTGTAAATGTTCTTTGCGTTTAGGTGTTCTGGCTTCATGCTTTTTGCAAATGAACTTAAAAATCAAGATTATTTCGGCCAGAGGCTGACATCAACTGTTACGTCCTTCATCTGTCCACCCAATAATATGTAGGGGAGAACTCGTCTTGATCTAGGTTAAGGCCTGTAGATGATAGGTTAACTGGTTTAACCTTGAGGCTAGAAATAAGTGAGTCCAAGTCGAGACTAACAGCCTTGGGCAGAGAGACGGAAACTATGCTATCATCTGATTGGTTGATAAGCGAGTGAAAAGACTAGTCAACTGGAACACTACTTGATTTATTCCCTATTCAGATTGGTGTAAAAAGACACATGAATAAATAGATGACTAGCATGACCAAAACGTTCAAATTAGAAAATACTATTATGTTCGAAATAGGCATTAGGGTAGGAAAATAAAGTACAAGCACTGCTGAGGAGTCCCACAATAGGACGAAACGGCCGTCCAGTGATTTCAGGTTTTCCATGGTGGTCTAGCTTCAATTGACTCATGATCTCAACTATATATACAATAGGTTACGTTTAAATTACAATAGCTTTGGAACAGAGAAAGGTATGACAGTGAATCATGCATCAAATGAAAGCTTATAGTTTGTAGAATAAACTGGGGGATAAAACAAAATGTTAGTGATTTACAAATTTTGATTTAAGTGAAATAACTTCCCGAAAAATAGCTTCCGTTGTTTATGGCTTCTTTGTTTCTCTGTCCACACCAACTATTAATAACTAAGGAGCTATTTCATTGTAGTTTAAGATTGCTCAATGGTTGCCAGGGTTCTAACTCAGGTTTCACGAGGTATGCATAATCTATAAATACATTGTGAGTTGAAATTCCAGTTTCCCAATTTGATCATTTGATGTTTATAGAATATTAATTATCTCTAGTACACTGGATGACTATATTCTGTCAATGTTCAGTAGAGACTTCTTATAATATTTGTTATATCTAGAGATTTGATTCTTGCTATGCCACGTACTACTAGACTACTTGAACGATCGAACCCGTAAGAGAGAAAAAAGAAGACTAGTAGGAATTTTATTTCCCCAACAGTGTCAAGTATAGTACAAAAACCTCATGTATATATAGTTTTTGACTGAAAGTTAATCATCATTTCGGACAGCCAATAGGCACATAGTGGGTCTTTCTTATTCATCCAACAGGGAAGCTACACGTCAACATTCTAGAATGTTCCCCTAGTGGTGATTGGATGGAATATCTTCGGCTCTTTCTGGGCTTCTTGAGTTTGCCAACGAACCATCCTTACAATATTCATTATCCCTATTGAACAATTACGGACCATTGTTCCGGTTTCAATATTCCATAAGATTCTATGATATCAAAGCTATACATAAACTTGTAAATATTCTTGTTTTCTATAGTTGAAATAGCCTTGGAAGTTTAGCTTTTTTGTATATTTCCTGTTTTCTTTGTCATATGGTCAAAAGTGTATAATGTAAAAGACATCTGATGGACTAGAGAACAGTTAGGAATTCAAAGCTTTGTGTACCAGACGTTTCGTATACCTACGGATGATCATTGTTTTTACTCTATTTCATTATAATAGATATCAGTTACATTAAAAGAATGGGATATACCAATGGAAAATTTATTTATTGGTGAAATAATTGGACGTGGTACATTTGGTACAGTATATCGTGGTAAATGGCATGGTGAAGTAGCTATTAAACGTATCGATTTTGATCCAGAAGATGTAGATGATTCAATACGTGTTGAAGCATTTAAACGTGAAGTTGCATTATTACATAAAACACGTCATGAAAATTTAGTATTATTTATGGGTGCTTGTATGAAAGCACCTGATTTAGCTATTGTTACACAACTTAGTCGAGTAAGTGTTTTGTTTTCTGTTTCATTTTTAAGGAATTTTTATAATGTTAAACATTTGGAAGTAGTTAGTAAAAAAAAATCCTGAATCTATTGTAGTGGACGCTACTCATAAGATTGTTTGTTTGTTTGTAAGTGTTGTGTAGCGGAAGGTGACATCAAAGTTGCTACTATGGTCAGATGGAGTGAGGAGTTTCAGTCCATCAAAAATACAGCGTTGGTAGAACACTTGGAGACCAAACGAGAAGACATTTCAGATTTTAGGACACACTGCGAGATATGGATGAAAGATTGAAAGCTATGCATAATGTATTATATATATACTTCTTATAATAAATATATTCCTCTTCCATTTTAGTCGTTTTTTACACTAGACTGCGCGCTAGAGGCCATTCCTTAGTGAGGTATGCCTGGCATTTACAGGGAACATGCTTCCTGTGTTATCCAAGCCTGCGTCATCAGTTTCATGTTTAGGGATGTTACTACTGATCTGATATTTTCTAGTGTTGACGTACGTTAATTGATCGCTGTCTTAGACTGTTTTACTGTGAGTGTTGCGGGTCTAAATTCTTCAGGAAACACTAGTTTCTAAAAATTGCCAGTGCGGTTCGCTGACAAGTGGAAACTAGCAACTAAATTGAACAGGGTTTACTATCGACTAGTTTCAATCGCCTAATATCAAAACATAGCACACGCGATGTTGAGTCACTTGCATTTGTGATCACTTTGTAACTTAGTCGATAGAATCCTAGCAAATTTAAAGAACTTGACAAAGATGATTTTGACCACCACTGGTCCACTTTTAACTGTCATGTTCTTAGTATAAATTTTGGTGAAGTTTCTTTTTCTCTGAGCTGGTTGGTTTGGTCATGGAGCTTTCATCATTCTTTTGAACGACATCATCGGCACAAACTTCAGGTAGAAGTGAAGTGTTCGAACTTTTCCATATATGACTCACAACTTATCATGTAAACCTCGATCTTGATTGGCTATTGTTGATCTTTAAATTACATATCAACTCATTAGTAAGTAATGTGAATTGAAGACCTAATGAACACTGTAATTTGCGTGTTCAACTTTGCCTCCTAATCTCTTTTGAAGAAGAGGTATGCATACGACCTCATTACACATTCATAGAACCCCACATCTGGATTTCCAAACAGATAGAGCCGTGTTTTTTATGAGAATAACGTATGGAGAACAAAATAACACGTTTTCCAGTTACATGAAATAACTGGCAGTTTCACCGATAACTAAACAAGTGAATTTAAACACTTACCATTCTTGTACAACCTACTGTTATGTGGTCTGCTCATGATTCGTACATTTTTCGCATCTCCCTTAAAATCCGAAACATCAAAATCAGTTCTAATTGTTTCAAATCCTCACCAAAACTGTGACCATTGATACAATCTTAAGGAGTACTGAAATCAGGATATTTGCAAGTGTAATACTATGGTGTGCGTTACTGATATCTGCATAAGTAGTAGTATATGGTGATGGTCAGACATAGAATGTATTTTGGCAGATGATCGATAAGGAGAGAACGGGAACGGCATGAGATTGGTATGTAAATGCATGAAACAATTATAATCGGAAACTATGGACGGATATTTGCAGAAGAAACAGCTATGCATACATAAATATAAACCCTCTCACGTGACTTATTGGATGATATAATTTTCCTTTGACAATATTTATCTCTGTACGTTTTCCTTTTTCGTTTCAACTAATCATCATCATCATCATCATCATCATCATCATCATCATCATCCTTTTTTCTTTCGACAATATTCAGGGTGAAACATTATATCATTTAATTCATGATCGTGATAATATTATGCCAATTAATCGTACAATAAGTATAGCTAGTCAAATAGCTAAAGGTATGGGTTATTTACATGCTAAAGGAATTGTACATCGTGATTTAAAAACTCGAAATTTATTTTTAGAAGATAATTCACGTGTTGTTATTGGTGATTTTGGTGTATTCAATTTTGTACGTCTTTGTAAAAAAGCTAAGTAAGTTCATCTATATATATATATATATATATATATATATATTTATCTAATAATGATTTATCGTAATTATATTTCACTTAATGATCGGTTAAAGGTGCTCTGGTGCGAGACTGGTAGGTCTTGGGTTGGAATCTCGCGAGGCGGGATTGTGAATGTACACTGCTGAGGAGTCTCATAATGGGACGAAACGGCTGTCCAGCACTTCCAGGTTTACCATGGTGGTTTAACTTCAATTGACTCATGATTTCAACTATGAAAATGCTGAAATCAACACAAAATTTCCTTCTGATTAATGATATCAGTTATTGATTGTCAGTTAGAGCTATACATACACATTACCTTTTTAAAATCTGCTTCGTCAAAGAAGTTAAGTGAAATAACCTAAAATTGATCACAATATATTCCACTAGAACTTCAAGTTCAATGTTTCTTCACATTTACCTTTTATCGTCTCGTTGTTTGGAATTGTAGATTCAGTGTTTAATGTTTCTCATCGACCTGATACAGCCGAGAGTGCAGAGAGCCCACCCTCTCGAAATGCTCTCACATATCCACATGCATACAACTACTGTCAGGGAAGTCCTACTCACTGCCTTCTCGTGGAGGCGTGTTGTTTACAATATTGAGAGAACGAGAAGCGAATGTTCACAGCTTTAACCGGGTTGGTGGATATAGAGGATCCACCTAGGGGAGTTGGAAAACCCTGATTCCAAACCAATGGTGCACATGGACTTCAGTATCCTGAGGAAACAAATGTCGTATGAATCAATCATTGGTCACCGTATACTATAGAACTCCATCTCCTTACGATGCTCCATTGCCTTGTGGATCAGATCTTTCGGTCAAAGGTTCCGGGCGTGGCCCCCTAAGGAAACCAACTGCTTCACTTTGAGCACCTGAGCAGCCCTTACACAAATCAAATGAGATTTGTGTGGCGCATTTATACTTGACACCACTTTGTAACAACATTTATGTGTATAAATAAATCAATAAATAGAATTTCTTATCGCCAGTGTTTAGTCATGAAACACATCTGTGCATCGATTCAATTTGTCGTATCATATTGACATAGTCAAATAAATTTGTTTTAAGATAAACTCCAGAGTAGTAACCGTATCAACAGTAGTAGAAAAGATAAGATATAGAATGGTCTAAGGAGATTTCAGGACCCACATTTCAAGGGATAATGCTGCTTCCTTTCAGTCTTTATTGTTTAAGTTCATGAATTAGTTTATTTTTCCACTGTCCCTTGATACCTTTTCATTGTGATCATTGTATATGTATTTTTTTCTTCATTGAATGGGGGGGATTTTTAGATGGGGCAATTATTTAAATGTTCCACCATTTTGGTTATGCTATATTGCACCAGAAATTATTCATGCACTTAACATTGGTTATGTACTGGCTACTACAACTAATGAACTACCATTAACTACATCTTCTGATGTTTTCGCTTTTGGGTAAGTAAAAAAAGATATAGTTGTGGAATAATGTTGTAATAATGTAACAGTGCATATAATGGACTTTCATGGCAGTGGTTGTATGCACGTGGCTATGTGAAAGTATTTGAAGAGAGGGAGAGCTGACTCTCCGTATTATTGGCTGTACCAAGGCATTGGGGAGCCTGATCATGAAGTTATTGAAGAAATAATTGTTCGCTTAAATATTCTTCATTTTTTGAAAAATTTACCTCTACAAAAGTAGTGAAACTGGCGTTTATTTGATTTTCATAGTTGAAAGCGTGAGTCAATTGAAGCTAGACTATCATCGAAAACCTGGAAGCACTGGACGGCTGTTTCGTCCCATTGTGAGACTCCTCAGCAGTGCGCATCCACGACTTCGTCTCGCACCAGAGCACTTAACTGATAGACCACTGAGCCGGCAGGTCCTGGTTTAGAATCTCGCGAGGCGAGGTCATGGATGCGCGCTGCTGAGGAGTCTCACAATGGGACGAAACAGCCGTCCAGTGCTTCCAGGTTTTCGATGATAGTCTAGCTTCAATTGACTCACGCTTTCAACTATGAAAATACTGAAATCTCCACAAAACCTCTTCTGTTTATTTGATTGTTTTATCAGTTTTGTAAGTTAATTTCAAGGTTTGAAATCGATCTTCTCTCTCGTAAAATAAGCTAATTTTATCACTTAACTTCATTCAAGTAATCATTATATGTTTACGTTCTCTATAAGGTTATAACTGCTCTTTTTTATAAAATCTCCCCTAGTTTATCAGAATAGTTGTGTAAACAATGTTGAGTAGTGGTTCATAATAATCGGTGCCAGAGCATGTAACCAAGTTTCGTTCTAGTTATGACATTTACTCATATCACTGAACAGCTGAAACCTCAGTAACATCTGCGAATATTACAGCCAATGTTACTGGTGCATTTATTATACAGTTCGCAGCAATTATTATAATTTGCCTTAGTTTCAATCTGGATCGAATGAAAAGAAGTTTATATTCTAGCAGACTTCTTCCTCTAACATATATTGCATCGAAAGATATCATCACAATAGTCTGCATTAGGGTCTACAAATTATTTGATTACCGCAATTACAAATAAAGGAACTTTTTAGTAGTCCCATTTATTGTAGACGCTTAATTGTCACATCTTCTCTAAAACCAGCTGTGAATCGATCGTACATCAGCATCATGTACTGAAATTGGCTCCATGGCCTTGACATCTCACAGGCGCTCCTGATTATTATAGTCTCGCCGGTGAATGATTGCTGGTGCTGACTTTTAAATTTCTCGCAAAAGGTCTCTATTGTGATCTTGACCAGAGTGCTGTTAAAGTTATAAAAATCGTCGATTCCCAATTGTCCACAATGTGGAACAGTAATCCTCTAGGGGCCTGAAAAAGTAATTATATTGTAAGTATTAGTGACGGTATGGAAACACGACCACAGTGCTTAGTTTTCGATGCTTGAGACTATTCTGGCAGTTATCTGTGAGTAGTTTTTAATGCCGAAGCACTGTGTTTCTTAGACCTCTTTGGCATGGCATTTTTCTGAATTAATGAGTGTTGCAGCTAATATAAATGGGTGGGGTTATGATGATGTTTAAACCCTATCACTCCATCAAAATAACATTTACAAATGTGTCACCATCTTGAATGACTCGCTAATTTGATTAACCCTTACTTCCTTTTTTGTCATCGACAATATTTCTAAAGTTTCATGTTTAATTGAATGTTTTTCTTCAATAATATCTTAGTACTGTATGGTATGAACTGTTAACTAATGAATACCCTTTCAAAGGATTACCTGCTGAAGCTATCACCTACTTAGTTGGACATGGTGTAAAACCTAATTTACGAATTCAATGTCCTAAAGATTTTAAGGTAAGTGCTTGTTTTCTATGTGTTTTTCTTTTCATGTTTCTCTGTTAACCGATCTTTGATAAATAATTTAAGACCTATCACAAATGTTCATCCAAATTAAGTTGTTACACAATGCAGCGAGAGAAGAAATTATTTATTTATTTGAGCACATAAAGAAAGCAAAAGAAAGTTACAGCAGGGTCGCCCCTGGATTCTATTCTGAGCCATGTCTGTAGCTGCTGTGTTGCACCGTCTCTAGGACCACAACCAGGGAGTCGTAAAAGATAACATATCATACACCGACCATTTCTCCGCTTTATCCAACCAGCCCCAGCGTCGCCAAATAATGTACCACGTGGAGTTCTCTGGGACGATATTCGTAGAATATGTCTAAGCCACCGAAGTCGATGTTTCAAGATAGTAACACTAATTGAATTATCGTCGCTCTGCCCGAACACGATGCCGAGCCTCTGCATTATTAACATGGTGTTACAACTGAATGTCAGCAATCCTTCAAAGACAACAATGATCAAGAATAGAGTCTTTTAACATCCTCAGGTCGGAGCGGCCAGGTTTCACAGGAATAGAGCAAAACTGCTCTCACCGGTGTGTTGTAGACTCGACCTTTTACAGTCAGACTAACATCACGAAGGCGCCAAAGATGGCCCATATTGGCATAAGCCTCTCTAGCTTCCACTATACATGAATTGATCTGATCACCGACGTCACCACCAGCACTTACTCAGCTACCCAGATACATGAACTTGACTACTTCTGTCTGCTCGCCACTGGGATTTCAGGTTGAGGTTCCTGCCAGTTTTGTGGAAGTACTTTACACTTCGAAGGTGCAAAGCAGGTGTCATACCTACGGACACTGGCTTAGGTATCATCACACAGTAGGGCAATATCATCCGCATACTCAAAGTCGGAAAGTCTTTCTGCGGGCAACAGATTCACACCATCATTAAGTGCATTCATCAGAGCTGTTCCCTGGAAGTCATTGGCAGCAAAGTTGGAGAGGGATGGTGAGATTGGGCAGCTCTGTCTAACCTATCTTCTGGGTTGGGTGGTTGTATGCCTTCGCTCTGCCTGAGATGTTAGTATATACGGCTTTCAATATGCTAATAAACTTCTCAGATACACCTTTCTTAAACAGACAATCTCAAAGAACAGTCCTGTCCAACGAATCGAAGGGGGGGCCTTAATGTCCAGAATCATTACGATTGTTAGCTTGTGATAAGTATGACGGTGTTCTAACATTTGGCGGAGGGTTAAGATACGATCAATACATCGTCGACCAGGACGAAAACCAGCCTTCTCACGAGTCAATGTTTCTCGAGCTTTGAATAATCTGCGAAGTATGACGGAAGCCAGTAGTCAAGACACGATTGGAGATAGACTTATCCAGCGATAGCTGTTATAGAAACGACGTGAATGAGTCAATTGAAGCTAAATCACCATGGAAAGCCTGGAAGCACTGGACGACCGTTTTGTCCTATTATGGGACTTATTAAGTAGACCAATTTCGATTAATTCACCATATTACACAAAATTCTTTACATCAGTTTTGATGTTAGCAGAAATAAGTTTGTTATTTGTATTGTTGATTGTGTATTTTTAATTTTTATATAGTTGATTAACAGTGAGTGATAATATATGTAGAACCTGGTACATACATGCTAAACTACTTCAGAACGAAGAAATGAAATCTATCATGACAACTATCAATATATATTTATTATTTATTTATTTAAGCACATAAACATTGGTACAAGAGGGCACCAAATACATATGCTCCACACAAGTCACTTGATTTGTGTGAGGGCTGGGTTACTGCCTGGTTGCCAAGACTGAAATGGGTGATTTTCTTGGGGGGCCACACCCGGAACCTTTGACCTAAAGGTCTAGTCCACAAAGCAGTGGAGCATCGTGACGAGATGCAGTCCCATGATAGCCGGTAACCAACGATTGTTTCATACGCCATTCGTTTCTTCAGGTTACTGAAGCCGATGTGCACCATTGATTTGGAAACAAGGTTTTCCAACTCCCCTAGGTGAACTTTCCGTGTCCACCAACCCTGTTAAAGCGTCGGACATTCGCTTTTCGTCCTCCGAATTTCGTAAAAACTTTGGGCGCGAGAAGGTAGTGAGTAGGACTTCCTTGGCAGTGGTTGTATGCACATAGCTATGTGAGAGTATTCGGAGAGGAAACATATCGTAGTCTGATAGTTAATGACTTCATAGAAGTTAGGTTGTTGGTTGGCATAGGTAATTAATGTACTAACCACATCAGTCGAATATATATAGCCTCATCATTCTATTTTCAATGCCTGCCCAGTATTCGGAGTATGACTTCACTATTGTCTTGCTCGGTGGTCTCTGCATACGGCAAAATCGCAGATAACCTGGTTATTCTATCCCAGATACACCAACAAATGCATGTCAAGAGAAACAGTGTGTCAACAGCCTATGCATCAATAGGCTGTGAAACAGGTGGAAACTTTCACATCTCTTGTAAACATCATCGATGAATGTGGAGAATATGATGTAGACGTAAAAACACGGACCGCATTCCTACAGTTGAACAACATATGGAACCCAAAACAACTGTCATCCAATATCAAAGTAACAATCTTTAATACAAACATCAAGACAGTTCTACTGTATGGAGCTGAAACACGTAGAAAACTACCACAACCATTATCAACAATGTACATGTATTTATAAACAATTTTCTCTTCAAGATACTAAATGTCCATTGACCGAATACCATTAACAAAAGTCTATTGTGAGAGAGATTAGGCCAGCTTCCAGCTGAAGAGGAAATTATTAAAAGACTGGAAGTGGATAGCACATACATCTGGTAAATCATCAAACTGCATCACGTGGCAATCCCCAACTTTGTATCCTGAAGGTATTCGGAAAAGAGGAAGTCCAAGAAACACACTGCGTCGGGAATTAAAAAAACGGACATCAAAAGGATGAATCGCAGCTGGAAACAGTCAGAAAGTAGAGCTGAGGACAGAGTTTTAGTGTAGAATGCGGAGGGGGGCAGCTTATGTTCCTCCACGAGGAGTGACAAGACTAATTTATATATATCTGTAACGATAATATTAAAAACAACATTTTGTTTGTACTAACTTTTTTTTACCGATTTAGGAAATTCTTGTTCAATGTTGGGCATACAATCCAAGTAAACGACCAGAATTTACAACTTTAGTTAAATTATTAGATCGTCTGCCAAAATTACATCGTAGTCCTTCTTATCCAGCTAAACCATATACTGGTGTAGCATCTGGTTCACATGGTAGTCTTCTAGCTTAATAATGATCAATAAATCAGCCTAAGGATCGATTCGTAAAATACAACATTATCTATCATCTGGGATTTCTCTTGATGTTATGATGAATGATGTGGAGAAGCCTACACTTTTTCTTTTGATTTCATCATAGTTAACTCCACTGTAATACTAGTTGAACAAATTCAAAAGTTTGTAATTCGGAATACCTTGCTATGTAAGTGACCTAAACAACAAATAATTTACTTTTTTGTCCACCGGACTTGGATACATATTTACTTTGCCTTTAAAATTAAAACTTCCTTAAGCACTTTTCATCTTTTTTTATTCTCTAAGTTGTTAGTCGTGCATGTATCAGTTAATGTACATTGTTTTACTAAATTGAACTGATATCTTAAGCGCTATTTATTTGTGATCCTATTTGTCTCACAATTACATACATATACAAACACACACACACCTCGACGACGACGACGGCGCATTCTTCATTAAACATGAAGTATTTCATATGAAAAGTCCTGTGTTTGAGTGTACATGTATACGAACTGTATCACTCTATAGTGTTTGATAGCAAATACATAATGTATATTCTTTCTTTCTTTCCCAAGGGGTACCGGTTGTTTGTTTAGTTTATTTTTTTTTTACTAGTCTTTCATTTCACTTACTAATTACACAATAGAATATGTGTTGTGTAGAAGAGAACGAAATCTATGTGTGTGTGTGTGTGTGTAGACGTGCAGGTAGATGGATTCCACTTTGTTAAAGAAGGTTGTCAATGATTTGCACAGAATTTTTTTCCCTCTCTATTTGTTTATATTGTAAATGTAATTTGTACACCTTATTTACTAATATTATATCGTTCTATTTTTCTTTCTGTACATGATTGTAAATGATAAATTACAACTTACTATTTATATAGTAACTAATCATTATTATTATTACCTTTTCTGGTTAACTTTGTACAAATATTTCTCTTGTTTAACTGAATTAAAAACAGAAACAATTTGAATTGTGATGTATTATTGATGCCTTTTTTCCACCTCTCCACATGAATGTTTAGAGGTTAAGCGCTCGTGCGCGAGACTGATAAGAATTGGGTTCGAATCCCTCAAGGCGGGGTCGTGAGTGCGCACTAATAGGGAGTTCTACAATAAGACGAAATGGCCGTACAGGGCTTTTAGATTTTCCATGATGGTCTAACTTCAATTGACTCATGAATTCAACTATAAAAACCCTTCTGATTAATGTTTATATTGAAGAGGACGTGAATACATTTTAGGATTTAATGAAGTCTAAATAGTTTAACAATCATCTAAAAAAATAGGTCACTTGATTGGCGACTAGATATTCACTTTTATAGTCTACTACAAAAGTTCCATCACTTTTTTTGTTTCGATAAAAGAAAATCTGGAAAATATGCGGTGCTTACGTCTCATACTGTGAAGCTTATTGACATCTGATTAAATCTTACACTAAGTATCAGTTCTTTCAAGACAGTGGGTACACTTTTCCTGATAAGTGATAACAAGAACGAAACTTAGGTCCAGGGTTTTTTGTTGACTGCTTCCAACCATCTGAAGTTTCAACACAGTGTACATAATGACTAGTTTTCTGGGTTAATAGACATATTTCAACTTTATTGATAGAATTTGATCATCATTGAAGAAAATGAATAGGAACACTACTTAGTAACTAATTAGTTATGAATCTGCTGGGTCAGTATAATATGACATTACAACAGGGGATGTAAAAATATTAGTGGCAGAGGTGTTTTCTCCAAGAAGATTGATTGGATATATAATTAATAACATCTCCTTAGTCTTGAGTGAGTATTATCCTTATTTTACAATCTGATAGATGTCGACCATAACGTGATAACGAGATCTTAAGTTGGACTACTAAGATGATATATAATATTGTCCGAAATTTCATCAATGATTTCTAGTTTTTGTCATGATGTATCAAGATTATGAAAGAACAAGTTTTAACATTACAGTTGTCAATGACCATAGCATATTCGTATAATTCACATAACAATAAGAGAAATTGGAAGGTTATTGCGGAGATGAATTTGATTTGTAGACTAGATTCGTAACAGATTGGTTACAATTAAAATGAAGGACGCGACTGTGCAATAGTATAATGTATAGCCAGTACCTTCAGGTATTATGACCATCGAATACCATTAGAGCCGCTGGATCAGCGTCAATCGATGCAGTTTCAATTTCAGTCAACTGATGATATAACGCAAAGATTTAGTACCATTAGTGATATATGTTATACTCCTGATATATCTGAACTCCATCAGTGGAGTATTTCCATTAGAACTTCGGAAATAATTCGAAGTCACTGTTATAGTTTAGTTAAAGTGTTATGTCTTAACCTAGCCGTCGCCAATTTGTTATGTTTTTGACCTAGGCGGTAGCCAATTGTCATGACTTGATCAAGGTCGTCGCTGATTCGTTATGACCTTATGAATTCAACAAGGACGTAAGTCGCCATGGTAGCCAGTGACCAACAATTGATTCATACGCCACTTGTTCAATAAGGATAGTGGGGCCCATGTAAACCATTGGTTTGAAATCAGGGTTTTCCAACTCCTCTAGGTGAACTTTCCGTGTCCACCAATCGGGTTAGAGCGCCGGACATTTGCTTTCGTCCTCTCAATTTCGTAAACAACACCTCCGCCATGAGAAGACAGTGAGTAGGACTTCCCTGACAGAGGCTACATACACGTGGTCATGTGAGAATATTTCGAGAGGGAGAGTGGACTCTTCCCACTCTCGGCTGTATTAGGGCAGCAAACAATTAAGAAAAATGTGTTTACTGAATATATATACAATATCAACAAAAAGGTCCAAATTTACAAAATCAATTTTTCTTTTAAAAAAAGTTACAAATCAAAGAACAGAGACAATAAATAACCGGCATCAAGTTGAGAGCACAAAAGAATGGAAAGACAAATTACGTAATCTCTCTCTCTCTCTCTCTCACACACACACACGTACATACAAGTTTGTTCATATGTCTGTCTGTATATCAATCGATACATTCATTAATTGTATATGTCTATCAAACTATCAATAAAATGTATGATAAACATGTGTGTGTACGGACATTAAGTATGATAGACATATCCATTTATGATTATTATTATATATCTATTGCCAAATTGATAGTTCATTTTCATAATCTACTTGATTTTCATAATATAATTTAGATAAATTTTCAATAGCTATATGACCGCATAGAACACAATCATTAGCAATGATTTCATCGAAAATATCCTAAACAAGTGAAGAAAAGACAAATGGACATTAAATATTTTATTCATTAAATAAAATTCTATGCAGATCAACTCCCCCCCCCCAAAAAAAAGCCTTGGTACAGCCAAGGGTGAAGAGAGTCATCTCTCCTTTGAAAAACGCTGTCACATGGACACGTGTATACAACCATTGTCACGAAAGTCCTACTCACTAACGTCTAGTGTTCAAGATGTTGTTTACGAAATTCAGAGGACAAAAAGCTAACGTCCGGTGCTTTAACCGGTTCGGTAGATACGGAGAGTCCACCAAGTGGAGTTAGAAAACCCTGATGTATGTAATGTATGCCAGTGTTTGACGAAATCCTTAATTTTCTAGTCTGCTTAACTTAATTTTCCTTCAATTCGATACTTGCTAGCTAAGATTACTTAAAATTGTGAGGAAACTGATAATTACTGATGAATTTTGACTAGGGTCACTTAGTTTTACAATCTGAGACGTTAATACTGAGCTATATGGGCCACAATTGACATGTTGTAGGACTGAGATATTTAAATTGATTGGTTACTGAGAATTGATTAATGTTGTGTTTGTCTATTCTTCGGTGCGGATTGCAGTTATAACTTGTTAACGACTGTTAACTAGTACGAAACTCATGTTTAGGATTTCTTACTAATCACCTAAAGCATCCTGCATCTAAATAACGTGCATGTGATTTGAAGTGATGTAGTGGCGCGATATCTAAGTCGAGTCAGATCGTATGCTTATTGTCATTGAAATCCTCGTATGTAATTATCGACTTAAACCGCGTTAGCGAAGAGCGAAATAAAATAAGTTAAATAAGAGAATGAATTTTGAATAGGTATATTTTGTACACTCATTGATTCAGATAGCTAGCCAGAGAAACAAAGTAAAGGAAGTGAAGAGTAAGGAGACGAAGTGACGCTTAGCGAAGAAGCAGAGTGAGTCAACTCGATCAAATCAAGATATTTATGGTCAGACCACGTGATGAATGAGTTAAGCAACTGACACACATACGATCATATGAAAAGTCAGATTTAATAAGCGAATAATAAACATGGTCAAAATGTGGCTTGAGAAGAATGAATACATTGGTCTATCCTGAAGCTAGAATAACCTATATATGATTGACGTAGTACCGGTCACTACAGTTACCTCGACGAGTTGGCAACAGTGCAACCTGACTGATAGAATTCGATTAACATTAACGTCTAGATAAACATAACATTGATCATTACTGAGTAATTATTCAATGAATTAGTTTATTATTAAACATGTTTAAGATAATAACTGTAGTCATTTACTACCAATTGTGAGAAACTGCTTAACCGAGTGGACCGATAAGAATAGATCAAATGTAAATGAACAGAACGTATCTCCAAGTGATTTTACAAAATCAAAAAAAATTAAGTTGCAAATCAAATCAGTGGGATAACTAACTTCAAAGTTACTTATAGATGAATTATTTCTAAGATTTTGAGATTCCAAAGCTTTTGACAATTTTGAATTTTCCTCTGCTGATAAATACGGTTTCACCTGTAAAAAAAAAATAAGAAAATGGAAGAATGGTTTTGATTGATTTGAACAAGTTAACATGTATAGTAATAATGACGATGAAAATGGCTGCATTCCCCGTCCTCTATGGTACTTTACACTGAGTTGTACAATACTATGTAGACAATACAAGACAAGTAGTTTTGTATTGAGTAACGAATATGTAAGCAATACTGATGTAGATGTAGGTCTACTAGATGGAAACGGCAAATCAGTTGGTGAGGTAGTGACTAAAGTGATTGCAATATATATCATATGAGATCAACTGTTGTCTTGAGATGCTAGTCGACATAACGTACAAAGTTCGTCTATCAGAATTTCTATTATAATTTGTTTTTACCACGCGTCTGCCATTCCAACAATAGTTGAGAGCCCTTAACTTTGAACAATGATACGTTCTGGTAGGCACAAATAACCTTGCCCAATATAAGCTATATTGCTACTGATCGCCTATTTACAAGTCTTTCTCTTTACAAGTCTTGAGTCCGAAAAGTCAGCAACCAGGTTCTACTGTATGCGTATTTCAATCATTCAACTCAATCAACAACTATCTCAAATACTCATTAGCTTACATGGAGGGACTATCAGGCCGCACGGCATACTGAATAAAAAACCGTAATTTAAACCCAGGACCATGCCATAATTGACAGAGAGCGAAGCAAACAAACCCATAACAATAGTTGTTAATAGGTTCACTGGAAGCTTATTATAAGGAGAATGTAGAAATACAATAATAATAATTTGAAAATAGTTTCCAAAGTTCTAAATTTTTCAAAACTTGTTTCACTTTGATACTAAATACCGCTAACTTCAAAGTGTGATATATGCTGTCGTACGAGTAAGCTGCAAGAAATTTCAGAGCGGTTTCACCAAAATGTAGCACCAGTTCATGACATCATTCAATGTTGAACTGTCGTGTAGATAGATACAAATTACCTGATTAGTATCTACGCGATTATAGTAACCAAAGGTTGAATACATTGGATGACATGATTCAGAATCGGTCACTATTGTGACCGATGAATATTACTCTTTCTTTTAAACTCATACATTTTATTTATCGCATTGTGTTGCTCTAGTGTGTAGAAACTTGGACTGAAACACAGAATTGCCAAGTTCTACATTTCTTATGACTAGTTGAAGAACAGTTAATTTGTAAACTGCCAATCAATTCACTTGGTATTGTTTGTTTGAATCTTTCCAATGATGTTTAGGACTGCAATTGATCAGTCGCTTATTGGCATATGTGCATACTGTGCATATTGCCTCGAAATAGCCTTAATTGACAAGCATTGTAGGCAAAGATGGATAGTGGCTAGCACTAGAATGTAAAAAGCACTTTTCGTCCTATTTGGAACTCGTCAGCTGGATATGCCTGCATCATATTTCTAAGTGAATAACGCGATAGTGTCTGGATCGAATGGGTTTTGGATCCGATTCTTAGAGTGAACATTAACTCTGACATGCAGGTACACCCAGCTGATGAGTCCCAAACAGGACAAAGCGCGCGTCCGAAAATCAACTGCTAGCCGCTATCCATCTTTACTTATAAGAATGAAATGTTACATAAAAGATATCTTGCAAACGTTATTTTTTTAATGATAAACAACCAACCTTTCCATTACTTACCAATTCAGTGAGACAACTTATATGAAAGTTATGACCACATGGAAAAACATAAAATGCACGTAGAGTTAAAAGATGATTGCAATGACTACAACGTGAATCATTCTCTATAATTTCATATCTGTAAATACGAAACCAAAGAAAGATAGAGAGAGAAGTGAACAATTACTGTGATAAACAAAACAGGATATAACCAAATTGAGTATAATGACTAAAGGAATATATAAAAAAACTGTTGTGTACTTGGAAAAACGAACTTCCGTATATGTACATATCTTCAATACGAAGTTGTGGAGATTATTAAATTTCATTGAAACCATGAACCGATCAATGTTAGACCACCATTGAAAAGCTGAAAGCACTGAATGATCGTTTCGTCCTTGTGTGGGACTTTCAGCAGTGTTCATTCACGATTCCACTTGGAGAATCAAACTGAAAACGTTGCGTTTCGCCCACGAATGCTTCGCCTGTAAACTAGTGAGTCAGTATCGATTGGTATTAATGCCTAACGCTAACCAATCAAAGACACTGTGAGACCATCTTCCGTTGCCTTCAATGGGTAGTTGATTCACAACCGATATGGTTCGACTTCTGGAGTTCTAGTGAGAAACCGTGATCAGTGGAACGAACACGTGTCGAGTGTGAGGTAGCTACTCGCAGTAGAGACAATGGAGGATGGTTAATCAATGTCGTGGATCGGCCGAAGTCAGGCATGAACATCATTTGATGCCGGATCAATGATCATTTCATTTTAATGGTTAGGAGATGGCTAATTTCTTTATGTGAACAATTCAAGGTCAGATTATCTTATAATTGATTTTATAAAGCAGAAAACATGATTAAAACAACGAAACAAAACAAATATAGAAATTCATACTTGTCATTAAAATGTACCATTTATGTATCCAAGTACTGTAACCAAGGGTAATTGTATATGTTATAATGAAATTGCATGCAACATTGCATAGTACAACAAAATAAAAATTATTGTCAACAGTAAAAGTGTGTAAAGAATGCAAACAGATACGAAAACAATGAACAGAATTTGGATAGAAGTCCCAGGACAGACAGTAAGTTGGAGAATACTGATCAGCAGCCGATAGGTCGATTAGGGGTAACATGAGTAAGTAGGTAAGTAAGTAAGTAAGTAAGCTCTATGGTAGTACAAGTCAATATACAATACATTGTATAAAGGTATACAAATGAAAGAAAATGTGTTTTAAAATATTGAACGTGAAATATCTTTGTTCACCTTGACCCCACGATTTGATCAGTCAATATTTATGTATATAAGTTATATATTATGCCCCATAATAAATTGCACAATCATTAATCAGATAAAGTTCTTCTCATTATATTCATGGTTATTCTGAACTAATTTTGCCTATGACATGATAAGAATGATGGATTGGTGGACAGTGTAGTACAACTGAAATATTGATCTTATTTTGCCTAGGTTAGCATAGACTACTTGAAGGCACAGGACGGCAATTTCGTCCTAGTATGGGACTCATCAGCAGAGTACATCCAAGATCTCTAATTGTCGATGAGTCACATTCCAAGATGAAACGGCAGTTCAGTGCTTACAGATTTTAATTGCGAGAATATAACATATAATGTTCAAAGGAATTTAGTATTATTTTTACTACAATGATTGTATAGCTTCGAAAATAAAGTTGTTGAAAAGCTTTATTCAACTGAATAAGTTGATTTATTTCCAATATCTCGAATAATCATTCAAACGCTTATTATTGAATCAATCACCAATGGCCCACAAATGCAGTGATACGGTCGAGGGTAGGACAAGTCATCTGTTCTTCGAAAAATGCTTTCACATGGCCATAAGTATATAGCAACTATCAGGGAAGTTCTACTCATTAACTTCTCTTGATGGAGTTGTTGTTTACGAAATTAAGAGGATGAAAAATATGTTCGATGCTTTAACCAGTTGGTGGATAAAAAGAACACACACAGGAGAGTTGGAAAATCACAATCTCGAACCAATGGTGCATGTGGGCGCAAGGATCCTTAAGAAACAGATGGCGTATTAAACTATTGTTGGTCACTGGCTACCATGGGGCTGCATCACATGAGGTTGTTCTACTGCCTTGTGACCGGAAGCTCAAGAAATGGCCCTCCTAGAAAACTAACTGCTTTGATTTTGTCACTCGAGAAGTATCCTAACCGACAGACTAATTTAATGATTAGTGTGATCCATATACATTTTCGTGCTTCTTTGTACTAATGTCAATGTTTAAAAAAACATGTAGATGATAAATACTGCGTATAAAGGTTTTTAGTTTGATGGTATACATCATGGTCACTACATACAAATGTAAATATTTAGAGAGAGAAAAAAAAAGATCCAGGAACTATAGAAACTTACCTATATCGTAGATTATTCGATTGTGTACGTAATTCATCAATAGTTTTCATTGTACTTTGTATTTCATTTTTCACATTATCAATTCGTTCATTATACGAATCCAATGATGTACAGATCACGTCCTAATTATTGTAAATGAAAAAAAAAAGATACTACGACAAATAGATGAACAATAAGTAAACCAGAAAATTTGCGTAGAATGTAAGTTTAAGATGAAATAGTTGAATTAAAAGCCCGGTACTTCCACAGTGCAAAAGTTAGTTTCCATACTTAGCCCCCAAATACCCTGCTACGGCCGAGAGTGAGGAGAGTCCACTCTCTCTCTCTCTCTCCCTCTCAAAATGCTCTCATATGGTCACAGGTATATAGTCTCTGCCAAGGAAGTCCTACCCACTGTCTTCTCGTACCATAGGTGTTGTTTACGAAATTGAGAGGACGAAAAGAGAATGTCCGGTAGGAGCTTTAACCAGGTTGGTGGACACAGAAAGTTCACCTAGGGGAGTTGAAAAACCCTCATTCTAAACCAATGGTCCACATGGACTCTAGTATCCTGAGGGAACAAAGGGAATATGAATCAACCGTTGGTCACCGGATACTATGGGACTACATCTCCTCACGATGCTCTACTGCCTTGTGGATCAGACATTCAGGTCAAAGGCTCCGGGTGTGGTCCCCTAAGAAAACCACCTGCTTCAGTCTGGGCAGTATCACAGCCCTCACACAAATCAAATGAGATTTATCTAGCGCATATATATCTGGTGCCGCTTTGTACGAATATTTATGTGCTTAAATAAATAAATAAAATATTCTAAGCTCTAGAAAGCAGTCAAAAGCTTGGTAGTTATCTTGGTCATACATTTATGTAGTAAACTTCAATGATGGTTGTGATGTAAACTCTTAACTTGTAATCATTCTGTGAAGTAAGATTTATGAATTGAATTTAGTGCTATCAAGTACTCAAAATATATTTATGACTTCACCTACCGGGAAGTGTTATGTGTCTTTCATTGATTTAAATCAGTTTGATTGAATACATTTGTATAGTTCACAGTAACATTTAATGGTTCATTACACTGATTAGTGAGGAGTAATTTTGTATCTACCGATATATAGCTGTCAGTTTCTGGTTATTCATCAAACCTGATAACCGATTTTTTGCGTTATTGTGCAACATCGTGATTTCCTGTGTAAATAGCTTTATATTTTTGAACTTGTCATGCGTTTCACATTTGTTTATGGATTACTTTCCATATCTGTTCAGCTAACTTGTGTAAACCAAAAATAATTAAAAACTGAAAATCTGAGAGGAGACAAACGCTAACGGCCTCTGTACCATTTCAATTGATTCAGAGTCATGTCATCTAACATTTACAATCATTGGTTATAATCATTGCACGGACCCTAATAAACTAATCTGGACTTACCTACCTAGCCCATTTAAACATTGCATGGATTCATGGACTGACTTAGGGTTTTAGTTAGGTAGGCAACTATCATGGAATCCTAATAATTTACGATTATCTTCAATTTTTATAAGTAATATTTTATACCCATAAAAGAGAACGAAGTGAACTAGTGTGTAAACTGGTTTTTTTTTTAGCTGGCAGACGGGTGTAAGATGCAGCATGTCATTCATTTGTATGGTTTAATACATTTTGTAAAAACGAGGTACTACAAAACATCATAGTTGGCCTTTAAAATAAATTACTACTTATAGTAATATAACGTAACACCATTTCATTTAACTAAATTACTCACTGTAATTTTCATAATTGAAATCATGAATCAATTGAAGCTAGATCACCATTGTTGCCTACGTATCATACAAGTGTTGTCCATGTAAGATAAGCAATCAACATTACATATATGCAGTTGTACACAATCTGACTACAGTTTGACAACCTCTAAGTTAAAAGCCAAATTCCCAGCTTGTATTTTAGAAACAACTATAGTGGGCAACACAGTGAATATCGAAAACAAATGAAAAAAATGACATTGAGTAGCTTTTCGATAAGTTTTTTTTCTCGCTGTCTACCTTTCGCTTTATGATCCTGCTTATATATTGAAATCGTAGAATCCAGTAAACTACGTAGAACCATATAGTTAAGCCTTCATACTTATTGGATAGACCATTCATATGTTTATTTATTTAAACTCAAAAGCGTTGATACAAAGGGGAATGAAAAATATATATGCGCTATGCGAAATATTTATCATTTAATTTGTGTGTGGACTGGGATACTGCGTGGTATCCCAAACTAAAGCAGATGGTTTCCTGAGAGCGTTACATCTTGAGTTTTCGATCATTTGTTCCCCAAGGTTCCTAGAGTAAATTTGCATTGATGGTTTGTTATCCGTCCATTTCTCTCTGTAAATATATATATCAGTGAGAGAAACATCAATGAAGCAACATATAAACCAGGATATCAGAACAAAACTTACTTTAAACTGATCAATAGTAACAAATTGGTGGAAATATGGAAGAATATCTTCTAATTTCAATAGAGGGCAATCTCTTAATAAATTGATAGCCTCTTGCATACCTCCATCAGTACTAATAATATGCTGGGCTGAAAGTGAGAAAAGTAATGACAACATTACGGATGAACAAATAAAGCAACATCATATTCGTTGTAGAGTTAATTGATTAAAAATCCATTGCTTATCCACACACACACACACACATGCTAGAACAATGGGTCACTGTTTAGTAAAACATTTAGTTATGATGAAACGATAAAGAGTTGAGAATATCTTCAGATTGACGTGTAAAGTAGTACTGGATTAAATGATTTTACTTCGATTCACCATGTATTACAGATTTATTATAACACTGATAATACTGTAGTGAACGAAATGTAGGGATAACCAATTTATTGTTTAATGCCAAATTGTGGAATGCCTTCGTAAAGTATAAACAATCAAACATTAGCTGAGCAGAAATGAATGTTGGGTAGCAGTAAAATCAACGACGCGCGTTTCGTCTTATCCGAAATTTGAACCCAATACAATTATCTTCAAACGCCATCGCGTTATCCACTTAGCTACTAAACCTAGATAACCACTAGATTGTGCAGTGGGGTGAAGTTTTAATTCATTTTTGCATGTTGCTCTAAATCACAATATCGAAGTGTTGGGATAATTCTGAAAATTTCTCACAATAGACATGACAAACTCAGGAAACATTAAGAAACAATTTATCCAGTCAGCGTTTGATTAGAAGTTTTACTAGAAATATCGAAAAAATGAAAAGTCACATGTAGAGATTCTGATTGACTGATTACTACACTGCTACTATGTTTAGTAGTATTCTAGAATTTTCAGTAAAACCCAATAACTCCTAAAATACTATAAAAACCCTATATTTTCTGTAAATAAATGAACCTTTGGAGTAAAGTGCTTCTTGCATATTTTGTGACTTATTCTCTTGTGTTCAAGTCGCTGTGTAGTTCTAGCTTGGAGGTTACGAGACTAGCAGCTTAGGATCCGAATAAAGCGTTCAATCACCAAGACTTATCACAAAGCATCAACTCACAGTTCAAAACACAAATTATACAATGAGAATATTTTAGAAAAATGTGGCAACATGTTAATGACAGATGTATGTTATAATCTGTATAATTTGATCTACTACAAAACCCATTCAAGTAAACTACAACAATCAGCTCACTAACAAGTTACTTGATGATTCTCTCAAGGTTCCAGTAGGAAGTCTTGACTGGTGCAGTTTATATACTTAAGGAGTGAAACAGTTTTCGTTAGTGGCAGTAAATGATCAAGGTGCTGAACATAAATTGATTGACTTTAGAATTTTACCATTGAACGGTGATACAGTCATTCTAGTGGCAAAGTATTCGTCCAGAAACTTGAATATTCTGGATCGCATTTTTAGTGAGGTCATGAGTTTGTACAGTTTAAGAGGCCCTTAGAAGAAATAGATGTGTAGTATTAACCCGTTTGCAATGACAACCTAACCGAGTTCCATTTGTAATAAATATCATCCACAGATTAGACTTGCTTTACTGAAACAGACCTAAGGTAATTCGCAAGCATTTCGATTTCTATTAAGTGTGGTGTACTACCAGTCATTTTTCAGTTACTTATAACAAATTTGTGTTCTAATATTCAACAATATCGGGATGTGCTACATTAAAGACATTCGTAATAGACAGTTCCAGATAACTCCAACCACTCGAAATAAATTTATGAGTAGAAATAGCAATTTAGTGTACAGTACTCATCTACTAAACGAACGAAAGAAAAAAGAACCTCAACATCCTGGACATGATACATTGTGAGAAATCTCAACTTGAACAGTAACCAAGATGATGCATGATACAACATATCACATTGATTACCTAATTGGATCCATAATTGACGACGTACAATAGAATTCAAGAATTCACTTTGAGCAATTTCTTTAGCGCATGGTATATCATTCTACAAAGAAATTAAAAATTATGAAAAAGCTTGGTGGTTACTTTATTGTGTTTATTTATTTAAAAATACGAAATCCTGGTGCAAGGAGGCACCAAATATCCATGTGCTACACTTCGTCATTTGATTAATGTGAGGGCTGGAATACTGTCTGGGTGCCCAAACCGAAGCAAGTGGTTTTCATAGAAAGTCATTCCTCGAGCATTTCATACAGCGGTCTAATCCCCAAGACAGTGCAGGAACATCATGAGAAGCAGTCCCATGATAGTCGGTGACCATCAAATATACCTTACATTCTATATGATTCTTCCAACTAATGATTCCTTTCTATTTTATTCAATCCAGTCTTCTTAGCCTTCTGCTTCCAGGCAGTTCTCTTCTGATTAATGTGACATACTACCTATGTCCGTCTACATAAGTAGTATACACTATAGTGTTATTAACAGATTATTTGTGTTACCAAATTCTAATTTTAACAAATTTTATTCAACTATGATAATTAAAATTAGTATATCAGAAGAGGTTTTGTGGAGATTTAGTATTTCCATAGTTGAAGGTGTCAGCCAATTGAAGCTAGACCACCAGGGAAAACCTGGAAGCACTGGAAGGCCGTTTCGTTCTATTGTGGGACTCCTCAGTGGCAGTGTACATCCACGACCTCGCCACGAGAGATTCGAACCCAGGACCTACCAGTCTCACACCAGAGCACTTAACCGATAGACTGTTAGATCCTGGGTTCGAATCTCGCGAGGCAAGGTCGTGGATGCGCACAATAGGACAAAACGGCCGTCCAGTGCTTCCAGGCTTTTCCTGGTGATCTAGCTTCAACTGACTCACGCTTTCAAAAATGAAAATTAGTATAATAATTATTTTTTCATAAACAAGTACCAATTCAATGGCTAATTGTAAAGCTTCTTGATGCATATCCAATAATTGTAGCATATAAAGTACACCTTTTAAATGATCAACTTCTTTGCATAAACGAAGAACATAACCAGGATCATAAGGTAACACTAGAGATAGAAAAAAAAGGAAGTAAAAATGAACTCGATAAGTAAAAATACCATCCAACTTTAGAGATTAACTTCAAACCATCTAATTATTTAATATAGACCATATAGCTTTGAATCAATCAGACAAGTGGCATAAATAGAAACTTGGCCAATAAAATTCGATCAAGATTAAGAAGAACCAGTAAGTAAGCAATAAGTTGTCCTTGGGCAGTATTACAAAATACCACACTAAAAGATATAACAGACCAATAGCGTTTAAAGATATTTTACAAGTGGGAAATTTGACTCGAAGGTGAAAAAGAGAGCTTTTGGCGCGAAAAAAGAAATTCAAAATTAGGCCATTTACCAAATAAGTTCTAGGGATTTAACATCTTCAACAATGTTGTATTACTTACATGATTGAATATTTTGTTCTTTAGATTGATCTGTTAAACATTTCAATTTATTCATTTCATTACTTTTAGGATAATTATTCATTATATCATGATCATGTTCAAATAATGATAATTCATTTAGATCCATATTCAATAATTGATAATCGTTGAATAGATCTCCATCATCGACAATATTCTGTTGATGTTGTTGTTTTAATCGTTTTATATGAATTGCTTGTATACTAACTTTTTCTAAATATTTCATTAATCTATCATCATTATGATTTAAATGATATTCATTAGCATATAATGATATAAGCATATGATGTATAGCTTGATTTGATATATCATTAGTATATTTTTCAATCGTATCTTCTAGGTAATGTATTGCTTGATTATTTGGTAACAACATAATTGACGGTAGAAGTCTATATATAGATATAAAGAAATAAGAGGGTAACAGTTTTCGGCGATTACATATTTGATTTATTTGTTTCCTAACCATAAATCATACATTCAAAATTCTGTGATTCAATGCCCCCAAATGCCTTAGTACGGCTGAGAGTAAGGAGAGTTCGCTCTCCCTCTTCAAATGATCTCACATGGCCACAGGTATATATCCTCTGCCAGGGAAGTCCTACTCACTGACTTTTCGAGGCATTGTTGTTGTTTATGAAATTGAGAGGACGAAAAGTGAATGTCCGGCGCTTTAACCGGGTTGGTGGACACGGAGTCCACCAAGTGGAATTGGAAAGCCCTGATTCCAAACCAATGGTGCACATGGACTCCAGCATCCTGAGGGAACAAATGACAAATGAATCAATTGTTGTACACCATCTACCATAGGACTGAATCTCCTCACGATGCTCCACAGCCTTGTGAATAGGATCTTTAGGTCAAAGGATGTGGGTGTGGCTCCCTAAGAAAACCACCTGTTTTCATTCGGGCACCCGAGCATTATCACAGCCCTCACACAAAAGAAATGAAATTTGTGTGGTGCCCTTTTGTACCAATATTTATGTGTTTAATTAAATTAAATTAAACTGTGCTTCAAGGAATTCGCTTTTTAATAACCTATTAAAATGATTGACTGTTAAACTAACGTCTATAGATAAGTGAAAGCTAAATAACTGGTTAAAGTTTGTACTACAGTTGTGATCACTGTTTGGAGAAACTAGGTGTTGTGACGTGCAGTGTCCGAAAACTGATATTGAGACATAATGTGCTATGTGCTAACCCCACCAACTGACTACTTCAGCGAGAACACAAGAGTGAGTGAGAAAGTGCATTTGGCTTTTGAATGAAATGCACAAATACCCTTTGATATATATACCACTCTATCCTTGGGAAATTGACCCTAATGAAATGCACTTGACATTTAGTTGACTTCTGATTCCCATCGATTGGCTTTTTACTGCTTCTGATTGGCTCTCCATGTCACTGGATGATATGACTCAAAATCGGGATTGAAACAATTTCAACTTCATTTACATTTATTTTATAACTTGCTGAGCACAAATGACGTGGCAGTTGATGTGTCTTATTTGAGACTAGTCATATGGACGTACCTACACCTTTAGTATTACTATTCAAATTGAGACTCCAACCTAGTTCTTTTCGCGCTAAACGCCCAACGCAATGTACATTTAGCTACTGAATTCGGATAACCATCCACTTATTTATTGAGCATGATGTTTATACTATTCTCAGTAAAAGTTTGAAATAAACGCGAAAGATCTGAAGGTTAAGCGCTCGCGCGCGAGACCTAAGATCCTAGGCTTGAATCTGTTATATCTAGAGCCTTGATTCTTAATATGCCGCGAACTACTTGACTACTTGAACGATAGAACCCGCAACGTCGCAAAGAGAGAAGACAAAGACTGGTAAGCAGGAAGTTTATTGCCCCGAACAATGTCAAAATATAGCACAGAAATCTCGTGTATTTATAGTTTTTGGCTGAAAGTAAATTATCATTTAGGTCAACCAATAAGCACATAGGTATCAAACTAATCCATCCAATGGGGAAGCTCCACGTTGGCATTTCTAGAACATTCCCCTAGCCCTGATTGGATGGAATGTCTGCGGCTCTTCCTGGGCTTCTTAGAGCCTCCTCGACTTCACCTGTGGACCATCCTCACACCTCCCCCCTTTAAAGTCTGTTGTATAAGTCCTTTTTCTCGGATCCACCTGGAATTGAGTTACCGCGATTCTCTTGCGACTCATTACTCTCGAAGGTTGTGTTGCCTTGCTCTTGCGTCTTTTATCTTTTCTACCTTCGTGCGCCTGAGTGCATTTTGGAGACGAATCCATGAGCAAATGAAATGGAAGCCGGCTTTGTGGCATCCATGTTCTGCCATCCCTTCGAATTTGATTGATGTGTCTTATACAAGTACCGACATTTCTTCGGATTAAATACAATACGCTTCCAATTCGACGCTCTATAATACCTGGTTCCCACCTTTTTCCTCCTTGATACGATTTAACGAGTACCCTTTCACCCACCTTGAAGCTACGAGTGACCATATGGTTTCCATTCGTGGGTTTTCTTGTCTTTCTAGGTGGCAACATACTGCTAAAGATTGTTCGAATTTTCCTTCCGAACATACACTCGGCTGGTGACTTACCTTCGGGTACTGCCGGATTGGGGGTAACTCTGTAAGACAAAAGGAACTTGCTGATTGCTTGTTCTGGGATGGCCTCTCCTCCCCCTTTAACTAGAGCTCGTTTTATAGTATCCACGAATCTTTCTGCTTGGCCATTCGACTGAGGATGGTACGGGGGAGACTGTAGATGTGATATGCCATTTTCAGTGCAAAACCGTTTAAAAACAGATGACATGAACTGGGTGCCGTTGTCAGTCACTAAGATCTCAGGAACCCCGAAACAAGCGAACAAACCTGTCAATTTTCTTATAGTACTCTCTGACGTCATTTTCGGCATGTCGTATACTTCTGGCCATTTCGTGAAGGCGTCGACAACAACCAAGTAATTTCTGCCTTGTATTGGGCCGGCAAAATCAGCGTGTATTCTTTGCCAGGGACCGTCTGGTTTTGGCCATGGTTGCGGTTCAGCTTTATTTGGGTTCTTTGCGGCCTCTAAACAGGACGAACAACTGCGACATTTTTGCTTTATATCATGGTCCATTGATGGCCAGTATGCGTAGCTTCGAGCTAACGACTTCATTTTACTTATCCCCGGGTGTCCGCTGTGGAACTGCTTAAGGACTTGGTTTCGAAGATTTCTGGGGATAACGATACGGTGGCCAAACATGATGCAGGAATCTACAATTGTCAATGAGTCTCGTCGACGGAAAAATTGCAAGAGTTCTCCATTTAGTCTCGATGAAGGCCACTTGTTGAGTATGCAGCGGCGAACAAACTTCAACACGTTATCTTTCTCACTAGCTCCTTTAATAGCTTCGAATGTGACTGGAAGTCCGGAAACTGCGTCTGTTAATACTGTGTGAACCTCGGCCTCAACATCTACGGCAGCCACGAGCACCTCCTCTTCTTGTTTTGTACGGGAACTAATTAGTCTTGAAAGGGCATCTGCCTGTCCAAAATCCGTTGTTGGTTGGTACTTTATCTTGAAATCATAGCCCAGTAGTGTCGTTGCCCATCTCTGTAGACGGTTTGCTGTATATACAGGTATACCTTTTTTCGATCCAAAAATTGTCAGCAGCGGTTTATGGTCTGTTAGTAGGGTAAATTGTCTGCCAAATAGCATCTTGTGGAACTTCTTTACTGCGAATATAATAGAGAGGGCCTCTTTTTCTATCTGACTATAGTTTCTTTCTGTCATAGTCAGCGACCGTGCAGCGTGGGCGATTGCCTTCTCAGACCCGTCTGGGTAGGTATGTGCGATCACTGCGCCGATTCCGTAGTTGGACGCATCTGCTGCGACTATGATGGGAAGCTCTGGATCATAGTGTGTGAGTAGAAGGTTTGATGACAGGAGCTGTTTTAGTTTTACGAAAGCTTCTTGGCACTCAGATGACCAGAACCATTTGGTATCTTTTTTCAGCAACCCATTAAGAGGAGCACGAAGGCGATGCAGTTCTGGAAGAAAAACTCCATAATAACTAACCATTCCCAAGAAAGAGCGTAAAGTTGACACATCAGTTGGTGGAGGCATGGACTTGATAGCCTCGACGTTTTCAGGATCAGGTTTTCTTCCGTTTTTATCAATTATGAATCCCAAATAGCGGACTTGTTCCATGTAGAAATCACATTTTTCAGCACGTAATGTAAACCCAAAATCTGCTATGCGTCTGAGAACCATATCTACCTTCTTCTCCAGGTCAGCATAGTCTGTACCCATGATCAGTATGTCGTCAAGATAGGCCGCAGTACCAGGAATATCTTGTAGCATAGTATCCATAACTTGTTGAAAGATTGAAGGGGCAGTCTTTACTCCAAACGGAAGTCTATTATATCGAAACAACCCTTTATGAGTGTTCATTGTCAAGTAATGTTTGCATTCTTCCGCTACTGGAATCTGTAAATATGCTTCTGATAGGTCTAGTTTTGCAAAATACTTACCCCCGTTAAGTTTCGCAAATAAGTCTTCTGGTAATGGTAAGGGGTACTGATGATCTTCAAGTGCGTCATTTAATCCAGTGGAATAGTCTGCACATAATCGAATACTTCCATTAGGCTTTTTAACAATTACTATTGGAGCTGCCCAATCAGAAAAGTTCACTGGTTCTATAATTCCACTTTTTTGCAGTCGTTCTAATTCTTGTTCAACAATCGGTAGAGCTGCGTAGGGCACAGGTCTTTTGGGTCGAAAAACGGGAGTAGCACCAGGTTTGAGGATTAACAAGGCTTTGGCCTTCGTACATTCTCCCAATTCTTCTTTAAAAACGTTGTGATGTCTTTGCGGCACGGTACTTTTCTGGTTACACCTTGAGGAGTTGCCAATAGTCACTCGTCTGCAGATGCTATTAATAGAATGATCTGCTAGCTTAAGAGTTTCTATTAGATCAAGTCCCAATAAGTCTAGTCTTGGGCTTTCCGTGAGATATACTTTCACATTCTTCTGTACATTCCCTTTTTTAACTGGACAGTATATCTCTCCAACAATATTTACCTTCTCTCCAGATGCACTGTGTGCTAACTGGGTTGTAGGGAGCACCGAGGGTTTTCCAATATGACTCCATGTTTTGCGGCTGATCAGTGAAATATCTGAAGCAGTGTCAAGCTGTAGACGAGCACGGCGCCCATTTATCTCTAAGGTCACATATTTTCTTCGATTATGTTCTGTTCTAGTATGTGCTATCATTATTCTGTTGATTGATGAACAATTTTTACGTCTTCGGAAATGAACACTTGATGATCGACGGTGCATCTTCTTTTTACAACATGTTTCTTTATGTCCTTTGAGCTGACATCTAGTGCACCGGTAGTTTTTGTATGGGCAGAACCTTTTGTAATGCAGCTCCCCGCAAAACCAACATGCGGATGGAGGCTTCTTAATGGTTGTGTTCTGCTTTTGCTTCCCACTTACTGCCTGTACATAAGGTAGTCGACCATTATTTTCTACCATTGAAGTGTCATGCTTCAAGTTTACCAGATGCTGACATTCAGTAGTCACCTCTTGAAGGGTGATATTTGGACACTGTTCAATTTTGCTTAGAATTCTGGTTCTAATGTCGGCGTCTTCTGAAGATTGTAAGCTGCATACGAAAACAAGACATTTGAATTGGTCTTCTGTCATTGCTGATAGTTTAAAGCGCTCACATTCGCGATTTATTATGCTAGCATGTTGCACCCAGTCATCATTGCCGGCTTTTACTATTTTCAAGCACTGATATCGAATATTGAACAAGGAAGACTGTTCACCGAAAATTTGCGACAAAATTTTAACTGTTTCTTCGAATGAAATGTCTCTTGGGTTCTTGGGCAGAATGTAATTAGTATATCGTTCATGTTCAATGGTGCCCAGCTTTCGTAGTAGCACCCTGACCTTGGCGGCATCATCAAAAGTTTCTAGGTCGACATTAAATACATCTTCATATTTCTTGTACCAAGATTCGAATGTTACACCAGCAACACCATCAAAATGAAATTCGTGAATGGAATCAATGATACAATCAGCATGCGATTTGGCAGAAACATCTGTAAGTCCATTCTTATTGAGGTTCATCTGCTGGGTTAGTTTTTCGAGTATGCGCATCTGGAATTGTTCAAGCCGTTTTTCATGGCGCTCTAGAAAAGCTTCAAATTGGTCAAAGGTAATAGACATCTTGATAAATTAACCCGTCGCCAGTTGTTATATCTAGAGCCTTGATTCTTAATATGCCGCGAACTACTTGACTACTTGAACGATAGAACCCGCAACGTCGCAAAGAGAGAAGACAAAGACTGGTAAGCAGGAAGTTTATTGCCCCGAACAATGTCAAAATATAGCACAGAAATCTCGTGTATTTATAGTTTTTGGCTGAAAGTAAATTATCATTTAGGTCAACCAATAAGCACATAGGTATCAAACTAATCCATCCAATGGGGAAGCTCCACGTTGGCATTTCTAGAACATTCCCCTAGCCCTGATTAGATGGAATGTCTGCGGCTCTTCCTGGGCTTCCTAGAGCCTCCTCGACTTCACCTGTGGACCATCCTCACAGAATCCCGCCTGCAGAATCGTGGATACACACTGCTGAGGATTACGGCTTCTCCGGAACCTCTGGAGGCTTTGTCAGGCTTTTGGAGACCATCCCAACGCTTATTTGACAGGATTCTGATCCGGACATAAAACTTATCTATTCTAAAATAGTTTGTAATTCACTAGAAATATATATCTTATGATAAATTTTGTAATTAAATACCTGGACACTGACTTGCTAACCACTTTCTAATCCCTAAAATATTCTACTCTTTAAACCTGAATGAAAGGAACAGAAGTCAGAAAGTAATTAAGAAGTGCTACTGTTATATCCCGATAAAATACTTATATGAACACTTGCTATCTCATGCAGATAAAACTGGTCACCAGCCACTGTATGACTCAAAAACGACTGATACAGCAAAGTGTAAGGAACGAAAGTAAGACTTTAACCTATCCTTTATCAATTGAATTATATTTTATGTAATTCGTTTGCTAAAACATACAGGTTTATAATATCCGACTTTTGTTGAGGAGACATGGAAAACTCCTCGAAAAAACCCAAAGAGGCCCTGAGAACGCTGGGAAACATTTTATCCAATCAGCATTCGATAGAACTTTCTCGGAAACATCTAGGAAGCAAAGAGTCGCGTCATATTTCTGATTTTGTGATTACCTATACTGGTACTATGTTTGATAGGGTCTGAGAACTTTCCAGAGGCCGAAATCCGTATGAAATATTATAAATACCCTAGATTTTCTGTACATAAATTAGCCACCTTCGAGTAAAGAGTTCTTTCCATATTTCTCACCCTTTCTCTCGTGTTCAAGTTGTCGTGTAGAGTTAGCCTGGAGTTATTAAAAGAGTATAGAAAACCGATTCAAAGTGTTCAGTCAGAAGAACTATCAGCTCTGAACTTCATTATTTTGTTTGAAGTGTGTTGTGATACTACCACAAAGTCGTTGAAATCAAATCCACAAGCAGGACAACACTTCGTTCATTTCATGATTCTCATTCTAATCCACAGTCCCTGTAACAACATGAACCTAAGTAACACTATACTGTGTTTCACGTTGTTATTGTTGACTAGATAATCACGACAACAACAAAAAGTACAATAGTTCAAATGCGATTCATGTTGCTATATAGAGAACGGTGGTTTATAACATTCAAGCTGTTCGACTTTCAACCACTTGTTCGTATATTTGAATCACATTAAATCTACTTGAGTATGGGCAACTTCATATTTAGAGGCCAAGTAAATGCATCTATTATTTAGAACAACCTATACCACATATTCCTCGGTCGAAAATACAGATAACTGAACCAGTTTTACGTCAAAAAGTACTATTTAAAAGAAAAAGAATAGAAAGGTTTCAATTACTAACCGATTACTATCCAATTTATTGTTTAAACGAAGACATACATTGACAAATTCCTCTGGACATTTACTAGATAAACACGATGCATGATCATATAATCGATCTAAACAATTTGGATAGGTGGCTAATATTTTTAAAGCATCACTATACATACATTGACGCATATAATGATCCACTAAACGAGGATAATCTAATTTGTTAAAATGAGGAAAAAAAGAAGTCTGAATAAGTGAACAAATATACAGTTAAACAATGGAAAACAATTACCGGCAAATAACCATATCACTATGGTGTATGTATCTTATAATAACGATAAATATCTTCAGTTAGTCATTGTTAATGTAAAGATATGAAATGAATATACCTTACAGAAATACAACAAGAGAGAAGATCCACTATAGGAAAAGTAAAGGTAATTGTGATAAAGGCCTAAGTACTCCCTTACCTTATTTTTAACCTACTACTTCTGTCAACCAACGTTACAAAGGCCACGGCAATCAGTTGCTAATTATGAGAAGCAGTTCAATACCTGAAGGTTTTTGAACTTACTTTCTACAAATAAGATTGACATTCAGAACCAAAACATACACAGTAGTTAAATGGTTCGATACAGATAGGTCTCTAAGACTACAATGACCTAAAGGTGTACCGAAAAGTTTGATATCACTTATACAGTCATAATCAACATAGAGGCTTGGAATAATGTGTGTTAGATTAGGTTGTTATTTTACTTAGTACAAGAAAATGAAATTATTAAGACGAATAATAAATGAGTTGAAGTAAACAAGGTGGTGATATTGATTTAGAATAAACAATGGAAATATATATCACCAAACGCTTCAAACCACTGATTGAAATAACCATTTAGACTCCAACGAAGTAGTCTAAATATGCCAACACGACTCAATCCCACAATGAAATACTTCATGGGTTAACGTCACGTCTTGGTCTGATAGCTTCTAGCTGCCTTTTAAATTATTCCTACACCAGCTAATATCGTGATGGTTGAACAAATGCAACACATATCCCAACCACATCAGTTGATGAGGATTTGCATCAAAGACCAGTTTGCCATCTTTGTCTAGTGGCTTATGTTTTAACCTTAGCATTTCTCGCTTAACCATTTCACAATAATCAAGTAATACTGTAAAGACACCTATGATCAAACAAATGTAGCCTAAGCATGTCTTTCACTTATAAAAACCACGTTTCACAGTCATAGAGTAATACAGTGAAGAATGATATGCAGTATGCTTGCCCCTTGATTGACAAGCGGAGATTTCAATCACGAGTGATCCAATGTAGCAAACACTAACCGAGACTTCTGAATCTGTCGAGATTTTGTTAGACACTAACCGTAGAGGACTGATGAGACTTACAAGATAAGGGAAGGGTTGACGCAGTTAACTTATCCCCTCATCCATGATTCATCTAGGCGACGATACACACTAGTCGTGAAGCAATAGAGAGATGAAGCCAAAATATAGTTGTATAGTTAATTAAAGCGTTTAGAAGACTCCATCACATCAACATCACCAAACCATCATAATCTATGTTATCTCAGTTGATCAGTAAACGCTCTGGTAGGAAATCTATCCCTATAAAGTTAGGTGAAATTTCGATTTTCATGAGAGCATCTATGATGTAGTTATATAAAAAGAGGATTGTGGGCAACCCTGATAAACGTCAAATGAGGTTGGTAATTCATAAGCTCTGACTCGAACACTCATGTTTGAAGGACGAATCTGTAGTGTTTAGTACCACGTCAAACCTACATGGGTTATTCCGGCTTCCGGACAGAGCAGTTTATTCATTCTTCTTCCCATTTTGACTTTGTCAAATATTCGCTTATTAATCTTGAGTGTTTTTATATGAGTGTATGTAACTGCCTTGTATATGGTACCGACCACGTGTGTATAACTTATTTTTATCTGGCTATAAATATTGAATCTCCCCTTAACAAAATGAGTTGGCTCCTTCGCATTCACCACTTTGCTTCTCTCACTTCTCTTCACTTTGTCTACTTCATTTTTCTGATTGTCTGTCTGAGATAATGACTGTACAAAATATACGTATTCAAAACTCATTCTCTTATTTGATTTATTTTATTAAGTCATTCATTAACGCGACTTCAGTCGATACTTATATACAAGAATAGCTGGGATATATATTTATTTTGATAACATCATTTTAAGATGTAATCGAAGTCAGATTAAAGGGCCTCAAAAAGCCTACACAATATTTTGGTAAGCTTTCTAATGGTGAACTACCACAAAAGCTCTTGGTCAAGGAAGTAGAATAACGCCCTAAGATAAGGAAATATTATGATATTTGGGAGATTGTAATTATGACCATGTTTTAGAACATAACGAGGAGTAAATATTTGATTGATACATCAACGTCCAAGTCTGATCCCATACTGGTTTTCCCGGGTTTACTGTTCACGAGCATTAGTTAAGGGTTGAAAGATTATTGAAAATCTTCTGATAGGACTTCATTTAAAATGTATTATTATTATTTCTTAATACGAGTAAACTTAAAGCTAACCTTATCTATTAAAAACTGGAGAGGGGAGAGAAAGTAGTGTAATAAGCCAAAAAATCGACCCAAAATATGCAATATTGCATAGTGAACCTATAACGAATAGATCAGAAGGGGTTTAGTGGAGATTTCAGTATTTTCACAGTTGAAATCATGAGTCTATTGAAGCTAGACCACCATGGAAAACCTGGAAGCATTGGATGGCCGTTTCGTCTTATTACGGGACTCCTCAGCAGTGCACAACCACGATCCCGCACTTGCGAGATTCGAACCTAGGACCTACCAGTCTCAAGCCGAAGCCCTTCCAGGTTTTCGATGGTGGTCTAGCTTCAAATGACTCAGGATTTCTACTATGAATATAACGAATAATTAATAATCAGTTGATGATAATATATTCACATAAGCGTAATTACGGATAAGGATTCTAAATCATGTGATTAAATTGTAACCGTTTTTATACGTCTAAAAACTAGGTTTACAAACCATGACACAAATGCTGTAGACAATAATAAGTTTAACAATAAGCAAAGATGGACTATAGCTAGCAGTGGAATCCAGTTTGACGCGCATTTCGTCCTATTTGGGACTCGTCATCTGAATGTACCTGCATCTCAGAGTTCGAAATTGTTAGGAAGACACAAAAAACTATAAAAGAGCCCAAAGGAGCTCTGAGAACACTGGAAAGCATTTTATTCAATCAGCACTTAATAGAACTTTCTGGAAACACCTATAAAATGACGAGTCACATATTACATTTCTGATTGGATGATTATCTATCCTGCTATCACGTTCAGTAGGGTTTCAGAACTTTCTGTACCTAAATTAACCACCTTCGAGTAAAACGTTTTTCCCATATTTCGCGCTATTTCTCTCTTGTTCAAGTCGTTGTGGAAAGTTAGCCTGGAGTTATTACAAGAGTATAGAAAACCGTTTCAAAGGGTTCAGTCAGAAGATTTATCAGCTCTGTACTTCATTATTTTGCTTGAGGTATGTTATGATACTACCACAAAGTCGTTGAAATCAAATCCACAAGCAGGACAACACTTCGTTCATTTCATGATTCTCATTCTAATCCACAGTCCCTGTAACAACATGAAGCTAAGTAACACTATACTGTGTTTCACGTTGTTATTGTTCACTAGATAATCACGACAACAACAAAAAGTACAATAGTTCAAATCTGAATCATGTTGCCATATAGAGAACGATGGTTAATAACATTCAAGCTGTTCGACTTTCAACCACTTGTTCGTATGTTTGAATCAAACTGAAGATCTATCAATTCATTGACTATTGAATGATTTAATAAAACAATAAAAACAATTAATGATAAACATTTACCTTTCATTAATTCCATAAAATAAACAAGTTCATCATTTTCACCATGATTTTCTAATAGATCGTATATCAACGATTTTGCTTCAGGTAAAAAATTCTAAATGAATATATATAAGTATAGAAAATTAGATAAAACATTTATTTTCATGTATCTATGACAAAACAAAACATAGTTATAATTCTCATAGTTGAAAGCGTAAGTCAATTAAAGCTAGACCACCATGGAAAACCTGGAAGCATTGAGCTGCCGTTGAGTCCTATTGTGGGAGTTAGACATAAACACCATCAGATGCCGGCCGGCTTAGTGGTCTATCGGTTAAGTGCTCTGGCGCGAGACTGATAGGTCATGGGTTCGAATCTCAAGAGACGAGGTCGTGGATGCGCACTGCCACTAAGGAGTCTCAAAATAGAACGAGACGGCCGTCCAGTGCTCTCAGGTTTTTCCTGGTGGTCTAGCATCAATTGACTCATGATTTTAACTATGAAAATACTAAATCTCCACAAAAAACCATTCTGATAATCATAATCATATGCTCACTAGTGACTGACTTCAAGAGGTAAATCCAGGAGTTCTAGTGAGAAGCAGTGACCAGTGGACTTCATACCACGTCTGTTGTGAGATGGGAACTCATTGAAGACAATTGGTGAACGGTTGCTCAGATTTCATGGATTGGTTGAGGTGAGACATTAACACTGTTGGATGCCGGCTTAGTGGTCTATCGGTTAAGTGCTCTGGCGCGAGACTGGTAGGTCATGGGTTCGAATCTCACGAGACGAGGTCGTAGATGCGCACTGCCACTAAGGAGTCTCAAAATAGAACGAGACGGCCGTCCAGTGCTCTCAGGTTTTTCCTGGTAGTCTAGCATCAATTGACTCATGATTTTAACTATGAAAATACTAAATCTCCACAAAAAACCATTCTGATAATCATAATCATATGCTCACTAGTGACTGACTTCAAGAGGTAAATCCAGGAGTTCTAGTGAGAAGCAGTGACCAGTGGACTTCATACCACGTCTGTTGTGAGATGGGAACTCATTGAAGACAATTGGTGAACGGTTGCTCAGATTTCATGGATTGGTTGAAGTGAGACATTAACACTGTTGGATGCCGGCTCAGTGGTCTATCGGTTAAGTGCTCTGGCGCGAGACTGGTAGGTCATGGGTTCGAATCTCAAGAGACGAGGTCGTAGATGCGCACTGCCACTAAGGAGTCTCAAAATAGAACGAGACGGCCGTCCAGTGCTCTCAGGTTTTTCCTGGTAGTCTAGCATCAATTGACTCATGATTTTAACTATGAAAATACTAAATCTCCACAAAAAACCATTCTGATAATCATAATCATATGCTCACTAGTGACTGACTTCAAGAGGTAAATCCAGGAGTTCTAGTGAGAAGCAGTGACCAGTGGACTTCATACCACGTGTGTTGTGAGATGGGAACTCATTGAAGACAATTGGTGAACGGTTGCTCAGATTTCATGGATTGGTTGAAGTGAGACATTAACACTGTTGGATGCCGGCTCAGTGGTCTATCGGTTAAGTGCTCTGGTGCGAGACTGGTAGGTCATGGGTTCGAATCTCACGAGACGAGGTCGTAGATGCGCACTGCCACTAAGGAGTCTCAAAATAGAACGAGACGGCCGTCCAGTGCTCTCAGGTTTTTCCTGGTAGTCTAGCATCAATTGACTCATGATTTTAACTATGAAAATACTAAATCTCCACAAAAAACCATTCTGACAATCATAATCATATGCTCACTAGTGACTGACTTCAAGAGGTAAATCCAGGAGTTCTAGTGAGAAGCAGTGACCAGTGGACTTCATACCACGTCTGTTGTGAGATGGGAACTCATTGAAGACAATTGGTGAACGGTTGCTCAGATTTCATGGATTGGTTGAAGTGAGACATTAACACTGTTGGATGCCGGCTCAGTGGTCTATCGGTTAAGTGCTCTGGCGCGAGACTGGTAGGTCATGGGTTCGAATCTCAAGAGACGAGGTCGTGGATGCGCACTGCCACTAAGGAGTCTCAAAATAGAACGGGACGGCCGTCCAGTGCTCTCAGGTTTTTCCTGGTAGTCTAGCATCAATTGACTCATGATTTTAACTATGAAAATACTAAATCTCCACAAAAAACCATTCTGACAATCATAATCATATGCTCACTAGTGACTGACTTCAAGAGGTAAATCCAGGAGTTCTAGTGAGAAGCAGTGACCAGTGGACTTCATACCACGTCTGTTGTGAGATGGGAACTCATTGAAGACAATTGGTGAACGGTTGCTCAGATTTCATGGATTGGTTGAAGTGAGACATTAACACTGTTGGATGCCGGCTCAGTGGTCTATCGGTTAAGTGCTCTGGCGCGAGACTGGTAGGTCATGGGTTCGAATCTCAAGAGACGAGGTCGTGGATGCGCACTGCCACTAAGGAGTCTCAAAATAGAACGAGACGGCCGTCCAGTGCTCTCAGGTTTTTCCTGGTAGTCTAGCATCAATTGACTCATGATTTTAACTATGAAAATACTAAATCTCCACAAAAAACCATTCTGATAATCATAATCATATGCTCACTAGTGACTGACTTCAAGAGGTAAATCCAGGAGTTCTAGTGAGAAGCAGTGACCAGTGGACTTCATACCACGTGTGTTGTGAGATGGGAACTCATTGAAGACAATTGGTGAACGGTTGCTCAGATTTCATGGATTGGTTGAAGTGAGACATTAACACTGTTAGATGCCGGCTCAGTGGTCTATCGGTTAAGTGCTCTGGCGCGAGACTGATAGGTCATGGGTTCGAATCTCACGAGACGAGGTCGTAGATGCGCACTGCCACTAAGGAGTCTCAAAATAGAACGAGACGGCCGTCCAGTGCTCTCAGGTTTTTCCTGGTAGTCTAGCATCAATTGACTCATGATTTTAACTATGAAAATACTAAATCTCCACAAGAAAACTCTTTTTGATATATAACAATTTAGATTATATCTTAAAGTATATTATTTACTTACCAATACTTCAGGCAATGCTAAGATTGTACGAAATTCACGTCGTACAGAAGCTAGACGATTTTGTAATATTAATTTAACATTATCATGATCATGACCATCATCATTATTATCATTGTTAATGACAACAGTTCTATCATCATCATCATCATTAACAATTTCATCCATTACATTATAATCCTGTTTTGTGATCATTTTAAGACGATCATTTATTATATTTAATTCAGTTAATAATAATTCTATTAACCATATTGCTAATAAAATAATTTGACCTGATATATTTACTAATGATAATTTATTTGTATGATTTAACAATTGATTCTTTTGTTCTATTAAATAATTCAATTTTGATGATAAAAATATTTTTAATGGTGTTAATGTACTACTTATAATACTACTACTAATATTATTGTATGAATGAATTGATGTTATTAATGATTTATATTGTTTTATAGATGAATTAATGATACATGTTAGTTTTTCATTAGTTTGATATTGTGATTGACTAATCAATGCTTCCATAATATCATGATCATCGTTAATTTCATAACCTTGTTGAATTAATGTAGATGGTATAATAGTTGATGGAAAATCTATTGTATATGTTGTTGATGATGATGATAATGAGGATAAACGAAAAAAACGTAATGCAATTTGTTCAAATGGTATAGAACTACGAGCAAACAATTTAGCTGCAAGTTCATAACTATGAATGAGAAAAAAAAGGGATTGATTATGTAATGATGGAATAATTGAGTGAGCAATCCAAAGGTTTGACTGAGGGTTAAAAAAACAGCTTGATGAGGTAGTGAATCTTCATCGATTGACGTGGTTTGGACCTAGATTACGTATAGTCAATAACAGGGTGTCTCGAGTCGATATAGTGGTTGGTGATGGGGTATGATAACAGACAATTAAGGAGTGTCAAAGCAAGATAGTGTGATTAGTTTTGAAGTCTTTGACTATTGGATTGAGCAGTGTAGGCATATACAGACTACGTCACCAGATTCAGCACGAATACCGGACCGCCTGCTGCTACCTTGACGTGGTGGTTGAGTTTGTCCATCGTAATGAATCAATCAGACTGTACTGGCTGAAACAACCGTTCTTCAAGGTCCTACCATGTCAGACAAGCCGATTGAAGAATGGTAAGATTAAAAGCAGCAAACTCAAGGTCCGAGGGCGAAGTCGTACTGTTGACTGTACAGAAGTGTGATGGGAGTAAGGTGTTTCCTTCAGATAAACACAATCACTGCTTGCTTCAATATATAAGGAGTAAAAATCATCCTGTGATAATCATAACCAATATAGCATCTAAAATACTAGCTAAATCGGGCGCCTAACTAAGACTTGTGAACTCCAAACACGAGAAAATCAGGCTGGCTTCACACCTGCTTGAGAATGCATCGACCACATATTCACTATTCATTAGGTCTTGGAATACAGGCTTGCTTATTGGCGTCCGACAATGATAATTCTTCTTAACTTGAAAGCAGAATTTGACTCTGTAGACAGAGAGGTTCTGTATCACTGTCTGTCATTGAAAGGTGTACCCCAGAAGTACATAAACCTTGTGAAGGCTCTTTACTCGAACACTACCAGTCGAGTGAGAGCTTATGGCGAACTGTTATCTGACTTTACAACCTCAAGTGGTGTCTGACAAGGCTGTCCACAACGCGCTATGCTGACTAGTACTGGGGATAGTTGGAAGACAGTTAGAGGCGGCCAAACCAAAACGTGGCATCAGTACTTGAAGTCACTAATTTCTAGTCTGAGCCATGTTGGTAGATGCGGACTACTTGGTTAGGGTCCACGCGACTATCGTAACCAATGGTTAGAGACGTTGGGTGACAGGCATCAGAATCCATCCCAATAACTCGAATGCATTCACTATTTCGTCATCTTCTAGATCTTTAGTTTTGAAATTATCTGATAATTTTTATTCTGTAAATTCATTCTTTGTTCTCAAATCATATTACATACATCTAGTGTTTTCTACTACCACTGATATTGTTACTACTTTTACCACACTGGCATTTATCTCAGCAACTGTGGTGATATGATCTGGCAACTTGAATAGATGCATATATAATAACTCAGGTTTTAAGCTGTGCATAACTGAATGATTAAATAATCTTTATAAGCTGGAAGTTTTAGAATGAATACCACAGTATTTTTTCCATTTCAGAATGTTATTGAACGTTTGCTTGGATGATTTAGATCAGTGGATTAAAAGCTAGAAGTAAATAACTTTCAATCAATTGGGTTGACAGGTCCGAATCCCGCTCCTCCATCTATTTAGATTTAGACAGGTAAGTAATAGTTTTACTGGCTCTCGTATCGAAACAGTATCTCAAAACCGAGTAAATAAGTTTATACTTAGTAGATGGTTTTTTTTATTATTATTTATTCGAATGTTAAAAGATACAAAACTGGTTTAAAATTATGCAAACCTATGTGTGATGAACAGATATTAACCACTTTAAAATAGATTTCGTGGAAAACAATCTCAAACTCTATATGTTCATCGATTTAATTTCTGTCCGACTCTAGCTTGTTTCTTACCAATCAGAAGAAGAAGGACTTGGCACGCATGACATTGATCACCACTCAGTGATCAATCAATCGTGATTACATCTCAGTCCTACAGGAGGTTGGTCGCAACCCGAAAAGCTCAGTGGTAACGTCTCTGACCGTGAAGCTTAGTCACACGGGATCGAATCCGTCAGGAAGCACCAGTTCCCTCAAGATTACAGGTACACCTTGTTGACCAATGCCAAGTAGCACAAAACCCGATTCCAGGGTTTCCTGTTGACCACCTCCAACCACCATCTTATCTCAACACAGTGCACGCAGTGTCGAGCCAACTAGACTAGTGGCCACATCGCAACTTGATCGATAGCATTCGACCAGCACTAAGAAGGACTTGACACACATGACATTGATCACCACTCAGTGATCAATCAATTGAGAAGAAATAACGTCATTAAGCGTAAGAGATGAGCGGAACTTTACAGAGATAAACTATATTCTATACAATCGCATAGATGACTGGTCGTTATAAGCCTCTGATTACATATTAGAATACTTAATTACGCAAACATAGGTGTTGAAGATGGGGACTGTTAATAAATTCAAGATAATGACAGTATATTAGGTATCCTGTCTTCTTTTTTTAATAATTTAGGAAACTTTACAGTTTTAAAAATCAATGAGAATAAATAATTACTGAATGTGGGACAAAGAATGAGCTGACAAGTAAAATTATACTTACTTTCCATTATCAAAATTATATTCCGCTTCACGTATATTAATGGTATCCATTTGACTAGGATCCTTTATTTATGTGTGGAACAAGAAGAAATAAAAGGTTGATTAATCAGTACAACCAATATGAAAAGACAACAACAATGAGGTAATATTACCTGTTCTAATTAAATAGGAAAAACTGCGAATTATGAGCATAAGATGATGGCTGGAGGTAGCTGTCAAGAAACCCTAGACTTAGATTTCGTCATATACCGTACGCACCAACAAGGTGTACATGTAATCTTAAGATAACTAGTGCTACTTGAAGCATTCGGTCTCATGTTACCCAGCTTCACTGTTAGAGATGTAACCGCTAAGGTATCTGGGCAGCGATTGACCGCCTGTAGGACTAAAATGTATTTATGATTGATCAATCACTAGGTAGTGACCAATGTCATTTATCACAAGCCCTTTTAAATTATAAGGATGGCCTACCAATGAACTCAAGGAAGCTCTAAGGAACTCAGATAGAGCCGAAGAGATTCCATCCAATCACGTTTAAGAACATTCCAGGGTCTCAACGTGTAGCTTCTCTACTAGACAATTACTAAAAACCACTGTATGCAGATCCGGTGGCTGCAAAGATGATTTCGTTTTTACTGAAAACCATTAATACTTGAGAGTTTCGTACTATATTTGACACTTTGTAGTAAGATTCCTACTCACTCGTCTTCTGTCTTCACATTTGAGACTTGGAGGGTTCTAGCTTTCGAGTGCTCAAGTAGTACGGGGTATATTAAGAATCTAAGCTCTAGATATAACAACGTCTTGATTGAATTTCATTGATCGGGCCAATGAGCGGAATGAGACGGAACTGACTTGCATCACTGAGATTTGATAGTTGGTCGATCTGATAATAAAGACATGTGATGAGATATCCTCGTTTAGTCAACAAACTGGAAATCTAAATCGTATATAAAATAATGAGTTATTGATGATTCCCATGCTTAGTCTCGAATATTAACACAGATGTAAAATGACTAAGCATATCATGATTGTTTTTGTTTTCACTTACCACAAAACTCAAATTATTTTCCAGGTACAGGTTTGTCGTCTTGACTTTGAGATAGTCTAAGTATAAGGGCTAGTGATGCTACACGGCTGGTCAAGTGGAAAGGGGTAGTACGATATTCAAATATGAGATTAAGTGGTTTAATGTCGAACTACTGCGCAGATGGAGTATAGACGTTGGATAATAAAATGTCAACAATTAAAAGTTATCAGACACTAATATGGATTTTAGCAAGATAAAAAAAGCCGTTCAGACTTGGAAAAAGCTGAATTAATATTCAGTTTTCCTGAAGACCGTAGAATGTTTTCATAATGACCATACTATCATCCGTGACCAAACTAGCTTAGTTAAACTCTACTTCCGTATATCGCTTAAAAAATATAGGTTTTAATCTATGACAGATTTGTTTTATAATCTGCACATAACGCAAGTTTATTGACTAACAAATACGAAACCTGGACGAAATAAAATATCTTTCTTACGACAGTCTCTCATGAGACCACAACACCTCAAAGTGTGGACGTTTGATTATAACAGTTTAGCAGATAGACTGATGAAATGATAGATCTTTAATATATTTCATCTATTCACCAGTAGTTCCCGACTAAAGACCTTTTCGACAGGGAAAACGAATACGTGTTTAGATTACAATGTTATACGAGCTATAATACATTAAATAGTGCTCACACTCCTATTACTTTTTGCAAGTTTCTTTTCAACGGGATGGGGTCGTTAACCGCATGCCCAACCCTCCTCTTTTATCCAGGCTTCGGACTGGCATGCGGGGCAAAGGCAGCATTCCTGTAATTAAAGAACAAACGGAACTCAAGACAATTGTCAACCAACACCAAAGTCCGAATCTTTAATGTGAATGTCAAGACAGTTCCATTCTATGGAGCTGAAACTTGAAGAACTACTACAACAATCATCAAAAACGTACAGGTACTTATAAACAATTGTCTATGGAAGATGCTTCAAATTCGTTAGCCAGACACCATCAACAACAACCTACTGTGTCAAGGAACAAACCAGCTTACAGCTGAAGATCAAATTAAGAAAAGACACTGTAGGTGGATAGGACATACATTTCGAAAATCATCAGACTGCATCACGAGGCAAGCCCTAACTCGGAATCCTCAAGACGAAAGGAAATGAGGCAGACCAAAGAACAAATTGCGCCGGGTATTGTAGGTAGACATCAAATGAAGAAATAGGACTTGGGAATAGGAGAGGTGAGCCCAAGATAGAACTAGTTGGAGTATACTGGTTGGTGACCTATCCTCCACAAGGGGTAATAAGAGTCAATAATTAAGTTGAATTATTTCATGACGTAACATACCTGACAAAATTGACGCGCTTCATCAAACTGTAGTCGATCCAAATAGATTTGCCATATTCTACATAATTCATTCTTCATATTTAATCGAGCTAAATGATTATTACTGAATATCCAAATACGATTAGACAATGAATCACGTGATATACCTAAAGCTCGTTCACAACCAATGATATTATTTAACGGCATTGAATAAACTGCTCGACCATCTAAAGTATTCACAGCTTTAATGCGATCTACATAAACAATGATAAGATGAAATTCTGTCAAACAAATGCCTAATGGTACACCAGGTCGTTCAAGCATATGAATAATTGGATACGGAATAAGTTTTGTATATCGCGTCAAATTAACACCACGACCAGAGAATATATCTTTTAGTTGATTTGGATCATCTGTATTATCCGTGGTAGTGGGTAGAGTGGAAACAGCTTCACTTGGAAATGATTTTACATCAATTGGTTGATCATTTGTTGAAAGTTTTGTAAATGGAGGCATACTTAATTGTTCTGTTCTTATGTAACCGAAGTAAACACCTGGACCTAGAATTTTACAATCAAGATTAAAGAGATTTTAAAAAGGATTGTGTTATTGTAGTCAAAAATGACATAAACTTATTTATCACATACACAGTTATATTATCAGCTTTGAGTTACATCATTTGCGTACGTGATAGTAGTGTGGTGTGTTCTACTTATGTCGACAGAAATTAGTAGTAATGTAACACCAATCAAAAGTTGAATAACTGGCAGAAAAAGGTCAAGAAGATCCAGTTGAAAACAGAAATGAAAGTAGAAAGGAATTGTGAACTGGAGGAACCATATAGAGTGTAAAGGACAAATGATGGGAATTCGTAAATGAAGTATTCAGCGTATGGTTCTCATATTTTACCAAGATATTCTGTAGTTTCGTATTAAAAAATACACTGGTTGACCCCACATGTATTCTTGTTTATTACAGTAGTACTAACTACCAAATGTTCTAATTAAAGTGGTTGTGAGGAGATAATTAGAACTGTTACCCGACAGTTATTCAAGAAATCCAGATAACTTGAGATTATATCAACAGATAAGTATCATAGCTCTATAAAAAAGCAGCCAACCTCCTTGAGGTATGTATATGAAAGCAGCGATAGGTTGGAAAAGGAGCTAAAAATAACCATAGCCATTTCGATATCAGAATTAACAGGTCAAATTAATGATTGTCAGTTTGAGTGTAGTACAGCGTAAATTCCTTAGCTAAAGTATATAGGATGTGATACATTTCTGGATATAAGATTATACACTAGAAAACCCGACAATACAGATAAGCTTATTTCGTTGGTTTCTCAAGACTGAAGATACTGCATCATTCTATGACTTCATGACTAAATCAAATAGCATTTAATGACACATGTGTATATGGAATTTAAGTCATCATCACGTTTCTAACCAAATATAAAAAATCGGTTGATTAAGCTGTCAATTTTTATTTACTGAAGTGGCGAGAGCATGTGTTAGGTATGCCCAGACACTGCCTGTCACAACGAACTATGTTCGTTTGAGTAGGAGCAGGTTGAGGAACAAAATTAGAGGGGCCAAACCAAAACATGGTATCAGTTTATGAAGCCATTGACTGTTAAACTAAGTCGTATTGGTGGATGAAGACTACCTGGTTCAGGTCCACCTGATACTTCAGATGGATATTTTAAAACGTTGGGTCATATGGCTTACAATCAGTCACAGTAGTGATGTATTTAATCTGTATCTTCAACTCAGACTTGAACTCAAATATAACTTCGTATTACTTACTCTTTCTCGACCTGTATATTAAAAAAGTTTAATCACTTCCACTACCACTGATACTGTAACTTCGATTAATTTTGTTATTGACCTCAGTACGTAAGTGGATAACGCGCTGACGTTTAAGGTAAGTAAGGTGAGGTAAGTAAGCAGAGACTCGGAGATGCAAGTTTGTCCAGTTGAGAAGTTCCAAATAGAATGAAAAACGCGTTCTGCATTTCCCTATTAGCTCCAGTTCATCTATTCTACATAAATTAAAGTTATTAAGATGATCTCAACATGAGAATGCCAGGCGAAACGTTGGATTTACTTCAAATTCACTCGCTGAGATTTTATATATATATTCTTCCTATTTAATGTCTCCCATCAACTCGGCGCCCAAATACTGTGAAACTATTCGTTCTAATTTAGAAGAAAGTTCTTATATATTAGTCTTTATGATTTCACATAAAACTTGTCTAGGTTAAACAATAAAATTTGTTGAAGATATAGCTATACGAAGACTTAAACCCCTTTTTCTATGCTTGAAAACAATGTTTTTACTTTGAATCTGCTGTGGTAATATCAATTTATGATTCAGAATGGTGCACTTCATAATATCCTTATTTTTTTATATTCAAATTTTCATAGTTGAAATCATGAGTCAATTGAAGCTAAATCACCATGGAAAACCTGAAAGCACTGGACGGCCGTTTCGTCCTATTATGCGGCTCCTCAGCAGTGAGCATCCACGATCCCGAACTCACGAGATTCGAACCCAGGACCTACTAGTCTCGCACCAGAGCACTTAACCGATAGACCACTGAGCCGGCATCCAACGGTGTTAATGTCTCACTTCAACCAATCCATGAAATCTGAGCAACCGTTCACCAATTGTCTTCAGTGAGTTGATATCTCTAAAACAGACGCGGTCTATCGGTTAAGTGCTCTGGCGCGAGACTGGTAGGTCCTGGGTTCGAATCTCGTGAGGCGGGATCGTGGATGCGCATTGCTGAGGAGCCCAATAAAAGGACGAAACGGCCGTTCAATGCTTCCAGATTTTTCATGATAGTCTAGCTTCAATTGACTCATTATTTCAAATATGAAAATACTGAAATCTCCACAAAACCCCTTCTGATCTATATTCAAATTTGTTTCAATCTTTTATTTTCTATGTATAAATATCTTAACAAGTGAATATGTAAACAGATTGCTTGAAATGTATTGGTCTAATAGAATACCACACTTAATCAGATAAAACTCATCATTTTATAACATTGTCAAAGTATAATTGAAATGAATAATTTGGAATTCATTGATAGGAACAGAAAATATTCATTGGTTTTAACTTGAAATACAACTATATTAGACAAAAATGATTACCCTAACCTGTCATCCAGGCAAATTTACTAGGAAGTTCATCTTTTACATTACGGTACAGTTTTAAATCACTATATCCAAAACTTCCGGGAAATTCAGTAACTTTGGAACCTAGACAAATTGAAAGAAAATTAAACAAACTATTGATTAATATATTCACTCGAATAATATGCAATCTGTGCAGTAAAATACTTATTATATCACCACAATTTTCAGTAGCTTAGAATGTTGTATGGTAGTATCTTTAAGGCTATGATACCAATATGAGCTGTTGAAATTACTACGATCTGTGACATTCAACTAAATTATACGCTTCCCAAATGCTTGATCAACCAGTAATACAACCGAGAAATGACTAAGAATCTGAATGATAAAAATGAATGATTATGAACATAAATCATTGCTACATATACATCTATCCTTCTGATCCATATAAGAATATGTAGGCTGAAACTTTGACTAAGAGCGTGGTCGTTTTACTCTAACAGCGTATCTAGTTTATAATTCATTATCTTGAGATAGAATCCGGATACAGGGACATGAAAAGCCTACACGCTATCACCCTATCAAGTGATCACTGTGAAAAGTCACTGAACAGAGAAATTTCGAATTGTGCAGTAAACCGATCACAAAATCAATCATTATTAAAACTGACTCACAAATATAAAAATTACATACTTCGTAGTGCATATATTAGTGTACAGACCTTGAAGTTATAAGTGTAAAAAAGGTTACAAGTAAGAGTGTGTAGGTCATTCAATTTTCAATAAACATTTCCATTCCATATCATGTTTCATATAAATTTATTCATTATTTTATTTATTTGAACGCGTAAATATTGGTACAAAAGGGCACCGGATACATATGCGCCACACAGGGTTTTCCAACTCCTCCATATCCACCAACCCGGTTAAAGCACAGTAAATTCTCTTTTCTTCCTCTTAATTTAGTAAACAACAACCCCGCCGCGAGAAGGTAATGAGTAGGACTTCCCTGACAGTGGCTGTATACGTATGGCCATGTGAAGGCATTTCGAGAGTGAGAGATGACTCTCCCCACTCTCGACCGTACCAGGACATTTGGGGGGAAATTTATTAGAATAAATTGAACTGCGAATATTTGATTCTCATAGGAAAAAGATTATTTGATGAAATTGTATAAGTGACTGCTGATTTGTGTTAGATTTAATGATTGGGCTTTTAAACGAATTAATTTCGTCACTACGCAAAAGGGACTACTTCTAAAACTGTTAAATATGGTCCACAAATATATATATTTAGATTCGTTGCAAGTGTTTAGTAATACGTAACTTCAGAGCCTTTCTCACATATAGCGGACTCAAGGAATGAATAATGGTATACGGGGGAACAGAATGGTTGAAATTCAAATTGTAATCAAGCTCTGTCATAGTGATGAGTCTTATTATTCTTAAACGTGAGGCGATTGAAATTAGCGGTTTACTAGACATCGGTTGAACTCAGTAATCAGGTAAATATGGATGAATTCCAATCTACGACGATATAAATATCGAATTAAAACCTTGATTAGTGAAACAATGTTCAAACATGTAACTCTGTAGTTCAAAGTTCAGTGCCTAAAGTATTGAATTACAGCCTGAAAACTGATAATGTACTCTAGAAGCTTCACTTAAACAACTTTGACTGTTTTCAGCAGACATAATTGTGTTCTATAATAGTGACGTGCGGTGTTCGAAATCTGATGCTGATATAAGGTGTGCTACGCGCTAATCCCCAACTGACTACGTGAGCAAGAACACAAGAGTGGGCGAGAAAGTGTATTGGACTACCGAATAAAATGCAAAAATACTCATCCATATATATACCACTATATCGTTAGAAAATTGACCCATTTTAACCCCAAGAAAATCCACATGACCTTTATGTCACTTCTGATATCTATCGATCAGCCGTTTCATTAAGCTACTTCCGATTGTCACTCCATATCAATTATCTCATACGGAGGGATTAAAATGGGGCACATTCCTTTACATTTCTGGTCAAAATTCACCTTCCACGTTGAACAAGTTACTATTAACTTTTTTGTGTACAGAAATTAAAAATAAAGAAAACAGCTAGTGATTTCATTCTCTCACTAAGGTATTAAAGAGTGGAATATTGAAGATGATAGCAACGAAGAGGAAGAAACTTACACCTCATACAACTAAGTACCAACTGGAAACAAACTTTCTAGTTAGCAAACATTATGTTGACTCCAAACAGTAGGTTTGACTACTAAAATATAAGAGGTGTTGTTGCGAAATAAACAGGTACAAAACTATGTAACTAATTTTGTTCCTAAGTAAGATATATCAAACAAACTGAAATCTAAAACAACTTACCAACAGGTAGTTTCTCATCTGAGTTAAATACACTAGAGAATAGTCCAGTGATAATGGGAAATATAGTTGTATTTTGTATTCCAACAGATTGTTGTTGATTATATTCATTCACTAAACTAGACCTATGACCACCAGTATAAGCATTTATTGCATTGGATATACCAGTTGTAGCAGTATTTGCTGCTAGATGAGATAAAATTGAACCAGTTGTTGAACTGTTAGTATTTATCCATCCAGCAAATTGATACATACGACAAGGTGTTGTAGCAAAGACTACACATCGTTGCGGTTCACCAACTAGTACATTAGGTGAACCAGTAGGAAAGCGAATCACTTCTACACCTGTTACACTATGTCCTAAATTAATCATCTAAATGAATGAAGTTGAATTGGACATAAAAATATAGTTAGATGATAGAAATCAGAGATATTCATTTATGAATAACATTAATTATAAAATGTAATATATGGTCTAGAACCATTCAATTACGAATCCAAAATCAATAAACCTATGCTTTGAAGAACATTTGTGCCTTAAGAGAGAGTAATCAATCTCAATATAAAGTCAATTAAACCGTCGTTATAACTTATGATAGTCTTAAACAAGAAAAAATGGGGTATATTTTAAGGGAATATATGAAGTCACTAGACCTTAGAGGCACTCAAAAGTTTTACATGGAACATTTGCAGATATAATCAATATGTACTACAATAAAGAGTTAAACAGTTTTCATACTGAATACTTGTTACATTTGAAGTACATGAGGTTCGTAAGATTACTAATCATTACATCACCAAACCAATTAACTGAATAAAATGAATACAAAACTAAGAAAAGTAACACGAGAACTTCACTGATAATACAAAAGTCAACTAAGTAGTTGTTAAAGAGTTGGGCCAAGTTAGAGACTTAAACTCAGCTTCATCTATTCTAGTAAGAACAGCCGATTAGTACCACTAGCTACTGACGTCAAGAAATTATGGCTTAAATTGAATTTATAAATGCAACCAGAATTACTGGGTGATACTTGATTAATGAAATACTAGAAAAAGTATTACAATTGTAGTCTTGTTAGTCAGTCTGTCAGACATAAGCAATGTAGGAACAAACATACATGTACATTCATTCGGATCGCCAGATCATACCAAGACATTCATATGAAACGATCAAGACAAATATCACAGAAGAAGTAATAATAATACCAGTGGTAGTCAAAAACATTAAACAAAGAAAAAATGATTCAGTAGGAAAGAATGAATCCGTAGAATGAAAATTCTGAAATGATCTCAAAATTGAACAACTAAAAGGAGATAAAAAATGAATTCATATACATCGTCGAGGCTGATTACTCCATGTTAACCAAAATCTCCAATCATTGGCTATGAAAATCGTACGGACGCCAACCAGGGCAGTCTGCATTTATCAATATGGCACTGTCCAACTATTAGAAATTTTACTTACTGTTAGTGCTATCAGTTTGGCTGCTCCTGGCTATCTATCAACCTACTCGCACAACAGCGAAAGGTAAGGCGTCCCCTATGTTTTTGGCGGATTTCCGTTCTCTGACCTAGACGATTTGGACGTGGAGCTTTCGTTGTTCTTCTGAACGATATCATCAGCACGAACTTCAGGTAAAAGTTTCCTTCATATTCCAGTATTGCGAGAGACACATGACAGTATTAGTCATTGTATACCAACCCAGTTGTCTGAAATTTACGCGCTTGTCGCAAGCCCTGAAGGTCCTGAATTCTACTACCGGGGGGTTCGTCGGGGCGTATTGCTAAGGAGCTCTACACTAAGATGAAACACACGTCCACTACATCCTGGTTTGCAATGGTTATCTTACTAAATCCAATATGTGTTGTAAAATACAAATTGAAAGTACAGTATTTCAATTATTAGGCCACTGCTTCACAAGCCAAATTACTAATCGAAAATTTGAGCGGTAATAAACAGTAAAAAAAGTAAAATGTCCATCTTGCCTGGATCCAATACTGTTCAATAGTTCCTGAACTAAAAAAGCTATCCTCGTTAAACATAAGCATTGTTTCAAAAATCAGTCCATCATTTGTACCGATTAAAATTTCTTGTGTAGATAATTCATTTACATTATGATGATTCCAAGCTATAGAGTCAAACAAATGATCCTAAAATGGAAAATCCAACGGTAAATAGATATATTGAGTAAAACGTTGAAAATAATATGTGATTTCGTTAGTAACTTTATACAAATTAGCATGAGTCGCACAAGATTTCTGAAGCTAACTAGAAAATTATTGGAAAGAAAACCGCATCAGATAAAAAGTAATCGATTAAAAGCTATCACGAGGTTCGTCACTGAAATAACAGTTGCCAATTTTTAGATAACGTTTTCCAGCTCCTTAATTAACCTGTCAGTTTTGGCCTTTCACTAACGTTAATATACCTTCACAATTGATTGATCACTGAATGGTGATCAATGTCATGTGCGTCAAATCCTTCTTAGTGCAGATCGAATGATATCGATCAAGTTGCAATGTGGCTACTAGTCTAGGTGACTCGACACTGCGTGCACTATGATAAGATGGTGGTTGGTAGTTAATATATCTTTCATAATCTGTTAGAAAAAAACTTTGTTAGTTTATTTTGTTGATACTTACAAATCCAAAAGTCTATAAAAGAATCAGACGTTCCTAGGCTTTTAAGTTATTTATCACGTACTTGGTGTTAACATACACTTTAAATCTGTGGCTACTGATAGTACCTAGTTGCACAAACAGTAGGTGGAGTAAGGTTGGAACCTACAACCAAGTGCCTAGAATTCGACACAAATAACCACTAGATCACTGTTCCATTATTTTTAGATCACTTACTAATTATCAACTTATTACTTTACAGAAACATTTTACAGTCGATTTTATTACCAGAGGTGAATTTTCCTGTACGTAAACATAAACATTTTATGTTATGTGCATTTTCCTTTAGAGCCAGAAACGACCAAATGGAAGGTCTTGACAACAACACTTCCGGAGACTTTCGCACCAAGATCAAGGATTATCTAGTTTGATGTTTGGTCCACTTTCTGCCTGAATACAAAAAGGATTACAACGAAACCAGATAAATGATTTTTGTGCTGACATAAAGGTAGTGCAATTCACGAAAAACGGTAATTTTTAATAATCATGCTAGAAAATTTGAAAGAGAATTTAACTAACTCTAAACAAGAACCTATACTCGAAAACCTAGACGTGTTAATATACGATTTAACGAAAAATGATAGTGAGACTTTTTGAGAAAAGCATAGCATATTGGTATTAATTAACTTTTTAGTGTAAGAATATGATATATTTTCACTACATCAAATATGATATATGAACACTCACTTTTGTTTTGTTAAGTGGGCGAACCTTTTTCATACCTTTATTGATATAAAAATTTGTGCCAGACTGCATACTTATTACAGTATGCCAGCCCATAGGATCCAGAAAAATATTATGAACTCGGTCATCTGAAAGGCGACTAATTTCAATTTCTAGGTATAAATGAAAATGATAATGAAAATCCCAGTGTCATGAAAAAAATTCTACATAAAAAATTCATTAAATATTAACAAACAGCAAAAACTAAATGGTCATTTGTACTACGGTTCATTAAACAGTGGTGCAGAGTGAAAAACGATAATTTATGTACGTGGAACTATTGTTTCGAAAGACTAGCTTAAAATAAACCATGAGTGCATACAATGGGGTAATTCTTTTATTATGCAAGTTTATGAGTGTTTGGTAATATCTTTAGTAAACACAACTACATAACGACTTCAGTACTCTAATCTTAAATTTTCTGTTGTTGTACGAGGTAGGAACTACCTGATCTTAACAAACAAGTTTACGTCAAATTGGGAACTCAGTATGTGCTCTGATAACAGAAATGTCAAACTAATAATCAACCATACATAGTACCTGAAGTGATACTTTGTTAGGAATAAGTTCACATAAATTAACAAACGAACCAAAGCAAATATATTTCATTTTTTAATGACTACCCGAAATCTTCGACTAGCAAACCTAAAACCATGGAATAATATCGTCTATAAGTACTTCTTAGTGGTCTACGAGATAGAAGGTGAAGATATATGTAATAATCAGAATATACAACCAGAAGAACTCTTTCAGTTAAATAAGTTATAGTCACTTTTTATGAAGAAAGTAAAAGAAGGTTACAGCAGGATCGCCACTGGCTTCTATTCTCAGCCATATCTGATAACGTCTCTAGCCACTGTGTTGCACCATCTCTCGGACCCCAAACGGAGTCGTGAAGAACCAACAGAAACCAGCCCTATGCAGCTTTCTTTCATACCACGATGCCATGTCATACACTGACCACCTCTCCGTTTTTTTCAACCAATCCCAAAGTCAGCAAATAATGCATGACGTGGAATTCTCTGGGACGACATTCGTAGAACATGTTCAAGCCGCCGAAGTCGGTGTTTCAAGATGGTGACACTAATTGGATTATCGTCTCTGCGCCCGAATACACGATGCTGAACCTCTGCATTACTAACATGGTGTTGCCACTGGATGTCAGCAATCCTTCGGAGACAACGATGATCGAACACAGAGAGACGTCTAACATCCTCAACTCGGAGAGGCCAGGTTTCACAAGCATAGAGCAAAACTGCTCTCACCGACGCGTTGTAGATCCGACCTTTTACAGCAAGACTAACATCACGAAGGCGCCAAAAGTGATCCAGATTGGCATAAGCCACTGTGGCTTCCATTATACGTGCATCGACCTCATCAGTCACGCCACCACCAGCACTTATACAGCTACCTAGATACACGAACTTCTGGACTTTTTCAATCTGCTCACCACCTAAGGTGAGTACAGGATTAGAGTCCTGCCAGTCTTGTAAAAGTACTTTGCACTTCGAAAGTGCAAAGCACATACCGTACCTATGAATTAATACTTATTTATTTGATCACATACATATTGGTACAAAGGGCACCGGATACATATGCGCCACACGATACATATTTTCTAATGACTACCCTAAATATTCGTGTAGCAAACCTAAAAGCATGGAATAATACCGTCTATAAGTACTTATTAATGATCTACGATACATAAGGTGAAGATATATTTGCTGGTTTTAAACGACGAATCTACTATATCTTAGGGTCATCGCTGTTTTGAAGTCAAAGTACTTCCATTTATTAACTGTAGAACCTTGACAACTACATTGGAGAGACACACAGCAAGTCATATGAGATCATTAGTCCCATAGCATTAAATATCTGTTGTTTAAAATGAATGTTTAGATAACCATTTCAGAAAGGCTAAAGTGTCAATAAAAAACATGTATTATGATCATATTATTCATGTATTGTTATTTCACTTTCCCTAGCATATACACTAACAGCAATTCTGCACTATAAGTAGGAACTATCCACTAACTACTAGTGAGTCACTGTACGCAAAAAGGATAAACCCCTTTTAGAAGAAACAATATACAACAATAGTCAAATTATTCTCTTTATTTCTTCATTTTAATCTGTCTAACAACAAAGGTTTTTTGAAGCAGCTATCACACAGTTTGAGGACTAAAGTCTGTTTTGACAGATAAAAAGTAAAAATGTACTTAGATTAGTGACATTAAGATCTTGAATAAAGTCAACTAACGTTTCTCAATAAAGGATATATACATAAGCAGGAACAAGATAACTACACACATAATCTTATTGATAGCAATATGACAGCACGAAACCGTGTAATAATGACTGAAGAGTATAAATCTTATTATGGAATTTTTGTCGACAATCAAAAATGCAAGGGTAGGATTCGTGTGTGAATAAATATATGATAAAGAAACGAACCAGATATATTGTAAGGAGGAACAGTGGGTGTTCTTATTAAGGTATTTTTTGAAGTAGCACCAACCAGGTAGTTGTTGCAAACTTGCAAATTCGTCAAGGAATTCACTACTCTGAAAAAATATACAATCAGTAAACTAAGAGGATGTACCTGAACCACTGGGCTGAATCGAGTGAAAAAATACCATCATGTGTGAAAAATTCAGCAGACTAAAAAGGGTTTGAAAATGTTAAAAAAGGCCTTCAATTACAGATTGCTGTTCCCCAGAATTTAGAGAACCCCTCTGCATAATGTAGCGCAATAACCAATTACGGCGGTTCAAACTCCTTCAGTATCAAGGACAGGAGTCCAATCCACCTATATTAATCTTAGCAGTTTATGGTACCGTGACCATTCAGTTTCTTTGTGAATGTATCAACAGAAGGTGATGATATTGTGTGTTCTGTCAGAGTATTTCAATAGTTCACTACCCGATGTGAGAAACCAAACTCCAGATATAAACGATTTGATCTCGGTTTTTGAACTTTCTCAAAATTTCTTCTCAGATGATTAGTCCTGAACAGAAAGAAATGACAAGACGTATTAATGAAAAATCATCCCTCAGTCTACGGTACTAGAATTATATCACTTCGTAATCGTGTTAAGATAAAGAATATGGGTCGAGGCGTCTGTGTGTTCATACAATAGGCCAGTGAGATCTTACATTATTTTTTCTCTTGTCACTGGACTTTTTCCAGTGTACCTGCTTCGTATTCGGAGCAAGGAGTCATTGTTTGAGTACCACATTTCGAAATGCAGCTTTTGAGAATTCGAGTGTAGTAACTCCAACATTTCTTCATCCAAATAACGAATTTACTCTGGGGCCTTTGCCAGAGCCAGCTTCAAGGCTGCCATTAGTCCTAAAGTGGTTGACTTTTTAAGTCCCTTAGGTCTTTATATTCATTTACTCCAGCGAATTCCTTTTCATTTATGTAGTTATATCAATCATCATAAATATTTATTTCCATTACTAAATTATTTTTTAAATCAACTGCTAATGACAACCCATACATCCATTTAACCAGTGAATTTAGGTCTTCCTGAAGTAATATACTTTATGACATTGAAGATGTCACAGGTATTATAGTTTAACAACACTTCAACCAGAAACAACTTCGATAATTGAATGGTGCTCATCCAGTGAAATCAAAAGTCAGAAGCGAGGAGGTTCGAGGATATATTTGGTAGGTTATCAATACATCGAAATGTGAATGATGCAAACGGGCTAGCGATCTCAAGAGAAGTTGAGCACGTCGTTCACACTCGCGATCTGGTGCGGATGCATGACCGAGCGCCTTCAGTTACGTGAGTCCGTTAGAACTAATGTTGTCAGCATTCAATGTCGAACACTTACAGAGCTATTTATTTTGAAGATTTATTTACTTCTGCAGATTTCTCCCCTCCTATTGAGGTAGTAATAACCCTAGAACGTGGCCAGCCAGGAGTTTAAATCTAACGAGGTTGTTGTTAGTAAACACTTCTGATAGCTTGCTACGTTTAGAAGAGTCTGGCCGTCTTTCCATACTATAAGGGAGCATGAGGTACAATATAGTAATAATGAGACAAAGTACAATCGAAATTTCGGTTCCTCGTAAACTTCATCGTTCTTTTCATCGTCTTTTCCAGCCATCCTAGAAAAGAAAAATAGAAAATGTAAGTGCATAAAGTGCGGAAAAAGGCAAATAAACGCATGCACCTGCAACAGCGTAGCATTGACTTTCAAGGAATTTTTTCCCGATTTGTTTTGGAAAAAAAGTTAAATACACCCATATGAGCAATAAAGAATTTTGTATTTTCTTTCATTCGATCGATACTGATGCTTTCGTTAGCGCCGTTCCTATCGACTATATAGTACTGAGATTCAAGCTGAAGAACATTGAAAGGTTCTTCGTATGCTGATTCGAGAGGTCGTCAATGTGAGTCTCGACGTACGAAGACATGTGTACTATATCGTAAAACAGGTTGAACGAAAACATCTGTTGACCGCGATCGAGTGGGAACAGGTTTAACTGAACGCATTGCATTTGTAAGCCTGCTCGTGTAGGAGTTTAGATCCATATTCATTGAAGAAAACGAAGGATCCACGAATTCTCCTGGAATTTGGAGTGTCGTTCCGTAAAAGAGTTGAGATGCAGTGGATCTAATGTCAGCCTTCACTGCATTGCGGATACCTAGTAAGACGAGTGGAAGAGCGTCTGTCCACTGTGAAACGTTTGCAGCTGATAGTGAAGCTTTTAGTTGTCGGTGAAAACGTTCTACCAACTCGTTAGCTTGTGGGTGGTAGGAGGTCGTTCGGAAACGAGTGAATCCTAATAGTTTAGTCAGACAACGGAAAAGTTCAGATTCGAACTGGCGTTCGCCCTCTGTATTGATGGTTGAAGAGCAGCTGCCCATCGTTCGACAAAGGCACGGGCAACTGTTTGAGCAGTAATGTCTTTATGAGGTGCTTCTGACCATCGAGTGAAACGGTCTACGCACTTTGAAAGGTAAGAGTATCTATGAATTGAATCTGGATTGGGTCCTACCGAATCCAGATGGACGTGGTTGAAACGAACATCAGGGGTTTGAAAGAGCCAAAGGGACATTTTTTGTGTCTAACTTCCTTAGATTTCTGGCAGCTTACACAGGAGCGTGCCCACTCCCCCACATCTTTATCCATACCAGGCCAGTTAAACCGTTCTGCTATGAGCTTGATGGATGCACGAACACCTGGATGAGAAAGACTGCTCATCGCATTGAAGACGTTGCGTCTATAATGTTTTGGTACGATTGGTCGATCATTACCCGTAGATGTGTTACATTTTAAGGTTTCCTAACCTGTTTTCATCTGTTTATTTGCTCACTTTAAGTGTTGTTGAGGACAACTCGTGCTGAAGATCAATGTCTTCTTTTTGAAGCTGGGCGAGTTTCAGAAGGTCGAGTCCTTGAAAAGTGCTCAAGGAACTTATACGAGACAAGGCGTCTGCAACTACATTGTTTGCTCCAGAAATGTGTTGTATATCTGAAGTAAACTGCGAAATGTAGTCCAGTTGTCGAGTATCACGAGGTGAGTACTTGTCTGAAGGTGAGCTTCAAGAGAGGGTAAGGGGTTTATGATCAGTAGAAAGTGAATTCTTGGCCGTCGATAGTGTTGAAAAAGCCTTACAGCACAATACGTGGCTAGGAGTTTCCCACTGAAAGTGCTGTACCTCGATTCAGTGTCTAGCAACCGTCTCGAGAAAAATCCTGAAGGTTGCCAGCAGTGGTTAACCCAAAGTTGTAAGACTCCTCCGATTGCTGAGTTGGATGCGTCTACTGCGATACTGATGGGTGCTTGAGTGTCTTGGTGTGCCAGTATGGTTACATTTAGCGATAAGTTCCACGACTATGGTGTCATCCAGATCAATGGATTTCGCATTTCCACGAAGCTGGTCGGTCAAAGATTTCATAAGGGACGCGCATTCTGGAATGAACCGTCTATAGAAACTTAGAAGGCCATAAAATGTTCAACTGCTTAATAGTGGTCGGCTCATAATAATCCAGAATGTCCGTCACTTTGCTTTCTAGAGGCCGGACGCCTTGCGTGTCAATGCTGTGTCCTAAGAAATCTAAGGAGTCTGTCTCGATTCAGCATTTCTGAATATCTTTCAGTAATGCCATACTTTTGTAGTCGCAGTGTCCAGATGATGGAGATGGGATTCTCCATCAGGAATCGCTATCAAGCAGTCGTCAACATACGCATGCACGAAGATGAGACCTCGGAAAACGTCATCGATGAACCTTTGAAAAGTCTGGACAGCATTTCTTAGGCCGAAAAGCATTCGCGAAAACTCATAGAGTCTAAAGGCAGTGATGATAGCGGTTTTAAAAATATAGGTTAAAGGTTTTAACCAAGTCAATTTTTGAAAAGACAGTTGTGCCTTTCAATTCAGCTGTCAAATCGTGAATGTGAGGCAATGCGTAACGATCGGGAATGGATTTCATATTTAAACGCCGATAATCACTAGTTGAACACCAATCTTTTCTGCCCTTTTTAGGGACCATGTGAAAAGGAGATGTCCATGTGCTGTTTAATGGTCGAATTATTCCTAACTCTATGATGTGGTTGAATTCATTTTTGGCCAGCTTTTCGGCAGCCAGTCGGAGTGCTTTCGAGAATACAGGTGGTCCTGTAGTTGTGATGTGATGTGTAGAATTGCTGATTGCACACGGCAATTTCGGTTGCGGTTTGTTCATCTCAGAGGACTTATCGAGTGATGGTTGTTCGAATTGGTCCATTGTGTGAGTCATTATGACTGAGGATAATCTGCAACCGAAAAAAAGAAGTGAAGCAAACATATAAATTAGTGTTCCCGTCTACTAGCTTCCGTTTGCACGTATCGATGTGTAGATTGTAGTGTTGTAGGAGGTCTATACCAATGATTGGCAAAGAAACATCTGCAACCACGAAGATCAAGTGAATGGGTTTGCGTAAGCTGACGTTAAGGTAAACGTACATTTTACTGTATGTGGCGTATGGCTTTCCATTTGCCGCCTGTAAGTTTGAGATAGACTCGTGAAGCCGGTCGTTAGAATTTCCAGGAAGAACGCTAACGTCTGCGCTAGTATCGACGAGGTAGAGAATCTTCATGATCACATCTGTGACCTAGAACAGATGGCTATGTTCGCCGGCTACGGTTGTCGCTAACGCGTGCCGGCTAGGAAGTTTCTCGAATTGTTTTTCGTGTCGGTAGATTTGGAGTTGGGATAATTGAAGGGTTTTCTGCAATTTCTAGAAGAGTTTCCATACTGCTTATGATACCAGCACCAGTCAGGGTTATCCGTCTATCGTGGTTTATAGACAGATGGCCTACGTAAAGTGTGTAGTAGCTTACATACAACTGAAGTTGTTCATATCTAATTTGGCGAAGCCGTTTTGTTAACCTATTTAACAGACAGAGTCATTCGTACAATAACAACCTATCTATACTATTGTTCCTTTGTTATATACTCTTGAGCATTGTTTACTGTCTATGCATATATTCATTCTGCTAGCCCTACTATTAATCGCTTAATTGATTCGATGATGTTTTTCTTAAAATGAAGAAATCTCGGCATTGGGAGATTTCGTAATTTCTAGGATGCGGTGGGCAGATGTCATCAGATGGTCTACGGCGTTGTCTTGAAACGAGATCAGCACAGCTTAAACCTGCCGAAATAGTTCGAATAAGAAAAGTTGTTTTAAGAGGCCATCTTCGGAAGTTCTTTGACCGATAACCTCTCTCATTCTTA